CTCCACTTCAACACATGATAATTCTTGCCGAGTGAATACTATATGGTCTACTGATTTAGTGAAGTTCCTGATTTTAATGATGCATTGATGGGTCCGACCAACAGTTGGGGATGATATAGGCAGTGAGAGAGATAGAGTAGATTCAAAGAAGACACCGAAACATCTGCACTAACATTGTGTGAGTTGGTTCCTACGAAGAGGCTAGATCCACACTCAAAAGACGTCCAACTGCCCATACAAAAAAATTTTGGTCTAGAAATATTAACTTATGGAATGTGCAGAGAATTTATTTTTAAGAATGATGTATTAAAACATATTTTGGTGTCATCGTTTAATGGTTTAAGCTTTTTAAACAAAATGCATGCGAAGGCTGTTTTACCCGGCATCAAACTAAACGTCTCAATTACGATTCCTTGCACACCCTGTCACCCGATCGTGGTTTTCACTCATCTAAGGCTTTTGCCGTCAAGTCGGTTTTATTTGCAAGGGCACCCGACTGTGAAGACTAAGAATCGAGTATATTCCACATCGTTCTATAACAATACCTTTGCCTTATACGTATTTCACTAGATCAAATTGGATTAGGGTTTCCATTTAACAAGACAAACTTGGCTTTCAATCGTATCGTGATAGTAACTAATAATCACATAAACAACTCAAACCCGGCTTGACTTTAATCTGCTTAGAATTGAGATCCACTAGAACGAATGCGATAATGATGCGAAAGGAAAGAGACAAGAAAGATATTCAGCAATCGAGAGTGAGTTTCATCAAATAGCGTATCGCCCTTGACGTTATCCGAAGATTGGCGAAGCAATGGGGAAGACTGGAACTACTGCATGTCTATTTCCACACGTAGTACACCGCAATTCAAATGGAACAAGGCACAACGACGTTCATTCACCTAAATACTTGATTTTGGTGTTTTATATCCTTTAACAAGGAATCATTAGACAATTGTTCTTGTCTTCCTTAAAACCTTCGGTCACAAGAAAGAAGGGTGCACTTATGTGTTACGAAATAACCTTTTTAAATGATTTTTTTCCTTCTCTGTATAAGATTTGTTAGTAAGTCTGATTCGCACGGTGTATGATCTTGATGGGTGCGTTTCGAACCCTAGTTTTTCCTCGCCTAACCGAGCCTGCTTCTTTACCTCATCATTTGCAGGGAGGCATGGCTCATGAGATTTTCACCGCTTGCCCATGTTGTTTATTAATCATGTTTCGACGATCAATGTGAAACGGACCTTCATCGATGTCTTAAGCGAGCATAAACATGATATCATCGTCATGTAAGCGGGACATCATCGATCGGGAGAAGTCTGTATATAGACCTGCGGAAAGATCAGTCCCCCACTTCGAATACCGACACCAACGACAAGACAAGGCACGATGGGCAAAACCTTTGCTTCTTTTTTTTTTTTTGGGGGGGGGGGGGGGGGGTGGGGGGTGGTTGCCCATTGTCGGAAATGACGTACATGAATTCTAGATCGAAGAATTGATGGTTTGTGATCATTGTAAAAGGAGAAAGAATTCACTTATTTCCTTGGTGCGCTTGCGTGGGCATATGCTCATATGCTGCATGATCACGAGGACAGTGTTACATCGTCCGCTGAGTCAGATCCATTACGCCGGAGAGATGAGACACGGCATAACAGTTCCAGACTTTTGTTCTAATCCTAATGAGCTTGACACTTTGATTTGGATTGGCCTTCTTAAACCAAACCTTCAATGTCTCGACCCTCTTTCTGTAATTGCGCCCCCACCTAACAGTCTCTCCTAATCAAACCCATGCATCCCCCAAAAACCTCATCACGTTTCTCAGCCCGTATATAACCGCAGTCTCTCCCCCCGTTCTCATCGCACCACACACACAAACAAACACACACATACACGCCATTTCTCTTACAGCTCCAAACAAAAGAAAAGAAAGGAAGAGAAGAAAGAAATGCGGTCTGATGCAGAATCACTGGTTCACGTGCTCTTGGTCTCCTTCCCCGGCCAAGGCCACGTCAACCCGCTGCTCCGGCTCGGCAAGCGCCTCGCCTCCAAGGGCCTCCTCGTCACTTTCACCACCCCCGAGAGCATCGGCAAGCAGATGCGCAAGGCCAGCAACATCGGCGACGAGCCCGCCCCCGTCGGCGACGGCTTCATCCGCTTCGAGTTCTTCGAGGACGGGTGGGACGAGGATGAGCCGCGGCGCCAGGACCTCGACCAGTACCTGCCCCAGCTCGAGAAGGTCGGCAAGGTCCTCATCCCCGAGATGATCCGCCGCAACAGCGAGCGCAACCGCCCCGTCTCGTGCCTCATCAACAACCCCTTCATCCCGTGGGTTTCCGACGTGGCCGAGAGTCTCGGCCTCCCCTCGGCAATGCTCTGGGTCCAGTCCTGCGCGTGCTTCGCCGCTTATTACCACTACTACCACGGCCTCGTCCCATTCCCGAGCGAGTCGGCGATGGAGATCGACGTGCAGCTCCCGTGCATGCCGCTCCTCAAGCACGACGAGGTTCCGAGCTTCCTCTACCCGACAACCCCGTACCCTTTCCTCCGCCGGGCAATCCTCGGACAGTACAAGAACCTCGACAAGCCCTTCTGTATACTGATGGACACGTTCCAGGAGCTCGAGCTCGAGATAATCGAGTACATGTCCAAGATAAGCCCGATTAAGACAGTCGGGCCGCTGTTCAAGAACCCAAAGGCTCCAAATGCGAATGTGCGTGGCGACTTCATGAAGGCTGATGACTGCATCGGGTGGCTCGACTCGAAGCCTGCGGGGTCGGTGGTGTATGTCTCGTTCGGCAGCGTGGTGTACCTGCAGCAGGACCAGTGGGACGAGATCGCGTACGGGCTATTGAACTCCGGCGTGAACTTCTTGTGGGTGATGAAGCCGCCGCACAAGGACTCCGGCTACACCGTGCTGACGCTGCCTGAGGGATTCCTCGAGAAGGCCGGCGATAAAGGGAAGGTGGTGCAGTGGAGCCCGCAGGAGCAGGTGCTCGCCCACCCGGCCGTGGCGGCCTTCGTGACGCACTGCGGATGGAACTCGTCGATGGAGGCGCTCGCGTCGGGGATGCCGGTCGTGGCCTTCCCGCAGTGGGGGGACCAGGTGACCGACGCCAAGTACCTGGTGGACGTGTTCAAGGTCGGGGTCCGGATGTGCCGCGGCGAGGCGGAGGACAAGCTCATCACGCGCGACGTGGTGGAGAAGTGCCTGCTCGAGGCGACGGTCGGGGAGAAGGCGGCGGAGATGAAGAGGAACGCGCTGAAGTGGAAGGCCGCGGCGGAGGCGGCCGTGGCGGAGGGAGGGTCCTCCGACAGGAACATACAAGCGTTCGTGGACGAGGTCAAGAGGAGGAGCGTGGAGGTGGCGCTCGCCAAGAGGGGCAAGTCAGCAGCGGCGGTGGTTGAAGCTCCGGAGGCGGTCAGAGGAGGAGCAGTGATGACCAATGGAAAGGTAGAGCTGGTCTCCTCCTAAAAGGGAGGAAGGGAATGACAAAAAATAAAAAAATAAAATAAAAAGGAGGACGTGCGACGTGGCCGGCGTTGACACGTGGATGTTTTCGATTGGAAGGTCCGACCCAGATCAGACATTGTGAGAAAAATAAGTCGAATTAATTTTGTACCAAACCTGATGATGCTGTTGGGGATAAATCTTGCTTTCGATAGAATAGGGCGGGACGGTCTTACCTTTTTGGCTCAATGTTCTTGAAATCTTGTAGCAATTTGTAATCTAATTTTATATGTTCATCCGCTCTTGCCTTTGTTATTCTCGTTTTTTGGTTCTTAATAAGGTATCTGGGAAGAACCGATAAGAAACTCGAGTACTTTCTATGCACGCGAGCTCTATGCTAATTCAGATGAGATCCAGCATCGCGACATAATAATGCTTATAGAGACGAGTTTCTCATTTTCAACCACTTTGCTAGCGTAATTAAGTATACCACGCCGATCGATCGTAAAATGACGAATACGTGAGATCGACACGATAATGGAAAGGAATTGTTCAAGAAATGTCTGAGCCATCGATCGTGAGATCGACACGATAATGGAAAGGAATTGTTCAAGAAATGTCTGAGCCATCGATCTGTTTCCGACTCAAAAAGCCGTGGTCTATCTATTAGCTTTTCGTCGAGAAAGATTAATTTCCCTAAGCGGGGGGGGGGGGGGGGGGGGGGGGGGCGGGGGGGGTATGGGGTGTCTACGGCACAGGGTAAATAAACATCCTCATGGTCAATCGACAAAATAAAGCCTTCTTAGAGTCACATCGGGATCATCGATTACTTGTTTATTGACTGGGATTAACTTTTAACTGCAGGTTTTGATTACCCAGGTAACTGCAGCAGCATCGCAGGATCAGAGGTAACAGGCTGAATGTTCGTCCCTAGAAAATCGGGAAGTGACTGACAGCGAATGGAGGGTTGGGTGATTTAGGATCTGGTGGTACTATGTATGTTGTTTAATTTGGTGTTAAGTTCAGCTAACACTTGCTGCATCTGGACCGACTAGGAATTTTATAAAGGGGATCAGCTAAAACGCATAGCTCAACCAATCCCTCCGGGCCATAAAGAATAGTAAATTTTATAGGAGGGTGTGCGTGTGTAAGGTCTACTGTCCGGTCTTGGGAACGTGACCATCTGAATAAAGAATTGGCAACTGTCCCCGGTCATTTTACCTAACCATTTGCTTGGCCAAGAACGTGCACTGGAGCTTAAGGCGAGCCAGGACTTTTTGCAATAGCGGCGACGGCTTTTCGGGCATTTATTTCGGCTCGCGGTGTGATTGTATTTATCCTCCCTCTTTCCATGCGGAATCCTACTTTTAGCTCCGGGTATCGGTTTGGTGGGCGACAGCCGGCGTCGTGCAAGCGAATTAAATTAAGCCTGAGCAAAGGACGGCAATTCCTGATATAATGTGAGAGATTGTTATCTGACTGAGATCGATTTATGGAATTAGAGAACAGCAGATCAAGAAATGAAAAGGAAAGGACAGAGCTCACTATCGGTAAGAACTTTCAGCTCCCGATACGAATTCATTTGAGAGCCGGCACATCTGACTTGATTTCGACTCGTAGGCATTTCTTTGAAACTTAATCATCCAGTATTTGTTTAGATACATCCTGGCCTCATCAACTTCACAGAGATGCTGGTGGATACACGACTTCTATACAACTTCACTACTTTCGCACATTTCTGATGAACTGTTTATGTCGGGCGTGTGCTTACAACTTGCAGGAGTCTATCAGTTCAAGAACTTGAAGATTTTCCAAACGACATAAAGAATCCAATCATATGGTCATAAACGTCTTCCTTCGCCTTCAACCCCACAAGAAAGTCTACGTGACCATAGTTCTCTACATACAGTAACTCTGGCTTGGACCGCAATTCTTCAAGAGTGAGCTGGAGATCCGCCACGTCTGCTAACGCGTCATTGCCTCCATAAGCCATCCACAATGGCAATGTTTGTGGGATGTGTTTAAGATCAAATGCTGGAGGTTTCAACTGCCCATATACCTTCATGTTCTTAAACATTCCATAGTCATACTTGGCAAAACTGCCCTTGCGGATCACTGCCAAGCAAAACAAGAAAATGTTAGAAACCAGTCATAAGGAGAACAAAAAAGTCAATATAGCATTGATGGAAGCATAAAGAAGTGAAAACAAGACATAGTAAGAGCCCTTTAACAATCCCTTTTTTGAACAAAATACTCGAGGAAAGAAGTCATGACCAATTATAACCATATTGATTGATGCTATTGTCACCAAAAGGTTGAGAAAAAAAAAACATGCACTAAAATGGCGTGTTAATTAGAAGAGCCAATCCAAAAGATCATCATGGAACTAAAGAGAAAAAAAGATTGGTTCTTAAACACCATGTCTCACTTATAGTCAGGAAAAAAAGAAGCCTTTCATAAAAGTGCCAACACTCAGTGGCAGGTCTTAAAGTTGAAAGGTCACTTTAAACCAATCCACAAATTTTCAACATTGTATACTATGGCTGAAGCTAAATTAAGATAATCCAATTACAGAGCACAATTAAATGAACAAAAAGTACTCAAACAAAGGCAGGCAAAAAAACTCGAGAATCTATTTCTATTGCTAGCACAATGTCAATTAGAATTGGTGGCCAGCAATATAGCAAAGTATTTAATAATCATACTTTGGAAAAGATGGCGCATGTTCTTCGAGGATGATGGTTGGGGTTCATACTCCAAATAGAAGTCCACTCGTGAGTTATTGAAACAACAATTCTTCCCTGCAGTGTCAGCACAACCACTTGTCAAAATTGGTGTTCAGCACAAGCCACAACAGGTATCTTCATACTCTATAGTTTCAGAAAAGTTGAAACCAGCCATACACAACAGCACACTTGTTGGGGGGGAAGAGAGAGAGAGAGAGAGAGAGAGAGAGAGAGAGAGACCTGTTATGGAAGTCAGCAAGTCATTGCACTCTATGTGTCCATCGCACACAGAATCTAAAAGGTTGACTCCGATTTCACTATTGGATTACACAACAAAAAAATCATGAAAGTGAGAAACATGTAATGCTCAATGTAATTAAACATAAGAGAAGAATTGTGGGCTAAACCTTCTAAAGTCGAGTTGATGAATTCCCATCGCAACAACCACCTGTCCAAGAAAAAAGCATGTGGGATCATGTATTCATTGTTGGGAAGCCATACAAAGCAACATGAGAGAATAAGAACTGCTTACTTGATCAAGATGCATGCTGACCATTCGAAGAACAAGAGGAGCATTGACATGTCCCAAGTATGATATTGGACATAGAAGGGCAGCAGCTTCTACCATTTCTGCAATGTCAGGCTGAGTTAAAGCAGCCAAAGACATGATTGTTCCCTATGAAGAAACAAAAGAACAAAGTTTCACAAGTAAGACAACAAAATCAAGTGCAGCTAATTCTCTCTCTCTCTCTGTCTTTTTATCAGCCAATCAACTTCAAGAGAAGAGATGTATAAACCTGCGAATGTCCAACAAGAAAAACTTTGGAGCTGGTTGTCGAACTTATATTGCGTATCATCTCTGCAAGGTCATACAGTGCCAATTCTTCCCAACTCCAATCCCAAAAATCCTGCAGGAAAAAGGTACTTATCAGAGCAGAATTCATAGAAGTTTACACTGACATGCTTAAAACAGAACAAAATCTCCTCATTCAGCTGCCATGAATAAACTTATACAGTTTTTGGAAGCCAAATGCCCCAAGCATGCCCGTTTTGAGATGTGTGGGTACACTCATAGTCTCATACCATGCAATCCAACAAGCAGATCGAAAGATAAACAAGAAACCACACAATACCTTATCTTTCTCTGACAAAGATACATGCCCACGGCTCCAGTGTGTTCCACGTACATTTCCAACCCAGACATCAAAACCATGGTCTGCTAGGATGAAGCCTAGTGATTGGCCTGGAGCATTTAGGAACCATGCATCACCTGCCTGTTTGCAATTGGTTATTTAGGAAAAGATGTGAGTGAATCGGTCATACTTGGTGTTGACAAATATATATCGAAGCTAAAAACAGCATGGACCACAATGCTTACAGTGTCATAAGTACTTTTGCATTGAGATAGTAAAGTGAATGCATGCAACTTTGGGATGCGCTTGTGAAAAATTCGATGCATAACAACTGGAGATGACTGGAAAAGGTATAAAGCAACCACACGATGTATATCACGCACAAAAGATACAACTACTGTACAAGACAACTCAATGAAGTAATCATCAGATGACAGAACCTGGACCAGAGATTATAGTGCATTGGAGTCTCAGGCATAGTAGGGTGATGCAATGCAGAGTTTCAAGGAACCATGCATAATCTCTTGGAAGATTCTTTGTCAACGGTTCAACTAAAGTCATTTGCCGTCAGTTTTCCTATACGTTGTAGAACACGGCAGTTATAGAAACTCCAGAACGATAGTATTCCAGAGGAGATGCATAGGCTTAAGTGGACAAGCAGCTGAATCAAGAATCCGACAGAAAACAATTACCAGCTCAGATATTACCAGCTTACTGACGTATCAATAAAGAATTACTAAGAACACAACTAAAAAAAAGGGGAAACAAGTATTAATCCAATCTAAAGAACGCAGAAAACATGGAAACGAGCATGAGGAAAAAGGAACTAATCCAATCTAAAGACTGCAGAGATTTCAGCCTAGAAGATCGATTAAACCTTGTGTTGTCAACTTATAAATTTCTTTAGCATCCCAAATTGCAGCAATGGAGTAAAATGCCTTTCTCACAGCGAAGTGGATCAAGCCAACAACAAAAAGGGAGAATGGGAATCACCATGAAAAGCCCGTGCTGAAGTAGAACAGGAGGACCCCGTTGCGCCCCGAAATTTCCGTTGCCCGACGAGACGCGCTGGAGAGCCAATAAGTAACCATCCTTCGTTTGAAGCTGGCAACCACGACATGCAACAAGAAAATTAGACTCGCCCAACGTAAAATCAAAGAAGAAAGAACTGAAAATCTTCCAGAGAAGAAATTGGTACAGGCTACTAGCGTGGCGTGGTTGAGCTTAGAAAGGTACCGACTCAGAAAATTGCCTTCCTTTGCAGCTAAGCTCGAGAGTTGAAGCTCGCGATGCATTCAAAACATCCATAGAACTAAATCCTTCAGGATTTAGAATTTCAGACGCGTCAAATTCAGGTAAAGCACAAACTTATTCGGAAACGAGGAATTTCCGGAAGGCAATCCCTGTGCCTACAGCTCGAGTTCTTCAAACAAGGAAGAAACTCGCAAACTATCGAAGCGGAACTCGGAAAAAAGTGGGACCAAGCGCCAAACCCTCTCCAACCATACACGAGCTCTCTATCTCTCCAGTTTCGCCGGAAATGCAACCAGAAGAAACTTCAAAGCATCGAAAGCGACAGAGAGAGAGAGAGAGAGAGAGAGTACGGTGTGTTCGGAGCAAGGATAACCGGCGGGCTCGATGAGCTGGGAACACAGGGTCCGGTACGGCGATCGGGCCAGGGGAGCTGATGAATCGAGGGCAATGCCCTCGCCGGAGTCGGAGCTGCAGAGAGAGACGAAGCCGGTCGCCACCAGCAGCACCGCCGCCGCCGCCGCCGCCGCCGTCGCCGCGGAACGCGACGGGCGCAGCACCATGTCTACTCCAAGCATCCGATGACGAGGCGGGAGAGCGAAGCAACTGCCTCGATCGCGGCAGATTCGGAGCTCATCTCGTCATTGTCAATTTCTTCGATTTTTTCTTTTTTCGTTTCTCTTTTTCTCCCTTTTTTTTCTTTTTTTTTGGTTTTTTCTTTTACGTGACGGAACTTCGTGCTCGAAAATTCCACGTCGGATTTAATTTGTGGTCAAATAATGCTTTTTGGGCTCGCGGTATTTAATGGGATGAGATAGGCCGAGCCCAAAAGTGACGGCGACGCGATGATGGGCCGTTCGGCCCATATGCTTCGCGAAACCTGACCCGTCTTGACCTTTAATGGTTCGGGTCCGGATCGTGTATGGGGCCCACCGCATCGTTAACCTCGCAATTGCGCGTGGGAGGTGAAAATTTACGAGATAACGACACGAATGGTTACTAACTTTGACTCAATATGTTGTTGTATCATCTTCGAATTTTTAATTTATTTAATATAATCTATAAAATTTAGCTTAATATGCGATATCGTCCATAAACTATTAATTTGTTCGATATAATTACATGTTCAATTTAATCCCTGAACTATGTGAAAATGTTCAATGTTGTCCGTCCATTAATTCAAGTTGATGGAATTTGCAATTTGGCTTGTTTGAATGGTGACAAAAACAACATTACATGTGAATGATCCACATGAGACAATCAACTCAAATTATAATTTAATAATATGTTTAATTTGTTCAATTTGGAAAAAAAAATGATTAACTATGTTATTGGATGATGTGGTAGCAGCGACCGCTGTAGAGGTGAAGGATGGCGATGGGGTAGTAGACGCTGCATGTGAAGCTCGAGGCACTACTTAATGTTAAAGCCGACAATGTGGGGGTAGTGAGGGGCAAAGAGGAGATCAATGGCATTAGAACAGAGAGTGACAAGGGCGAACAGGCCGTTTTTTGTGGACTATAACATCAAAGGATTCGGTGAACTCGTGAGGGCATTTGAATTTTTCAATGATGCTAGCCATGTGACATATAACTTCTTATTTTCACTTTCAGTGTCGGAACGCGATCGTCTAGCCGGCGATGACGATCGGGCATGGTTGGAGGCGAGCAATCTCATGGTAGTTGGAAGCGATGATGATTGGTTGTTGCAATGGTGTTCTTCACGCAGTGGCTAGTGAAGTAATATGCGGATGTGTCACTCCATCACTCTATTGTTGAATGATATTAATTTTTTTTTAATCCGAGCCAAATATCTTACCCTTATATCGGATTCCTTATCCATCATTTCCAGATATGGCCGAGTTTTTCCGGCCCATAGGATATCACCAAATACCGAATATGGTAACAAATTATTTTACCCGGACTCAAATTCGGGTCACCAAACTGAGCCTAAGACTTCCATTTTCTAATAAGATGATGATGGAATATTTGGTTCTTTCTGAAGGAGTAATAAAATAATAAATTGTTAGGCCCAAATTGATGCCCTAATGAGTAGCCGGGCTTGACAAACCGAGACGGCGTGGATCATTCCCCTCCCAAAATAATCAGTAAAAATATGCACACAAAACGACAACAAAAAAAAAAGAAAAAAAGGAAAGGAACAGAGAACTATATATGAATAGTCAACGAAATAGTGTCAATGAGTAATTTATTCCTAATCTGTCCAAAGAAGAAGGCCAGGTTCAGACACCACAGCATCTTCTTCCCATTTTTCCAGCGTACCTCGCAAAACTGAGCCACCGCCGAGCTGAGTCGCCGAGCACGAGTTCCAGCTCGGACCCTTTGATTCCCCCCCGCCGTGCCTGCCGCCGCCGCCGCCGGCGACGTACCGCTCCGATGGCATTCGCGGAGTTCCGGCCGCTGGACGAGAAGTCCCTGGTGGAGTACATCCAGTGCACGCCCGCTCTCGCCTCGAAGCTGGGGAACAGGTTCGATGGCCTGGAGATCAGAGAAGTCGGGGACGGCAACCTCAACTTCGTCTACATCGTCGTGGGCTCTGCCGGCTCTTTCGTCATCAAGCAGGTGATTGTTTTTTCTTTCATTTTTTCTTTTGCTTAACAAAAAAAGGGATTTTTTCGTAACTGGGTGGCCGAGGTCTCTCTTTATGTATGATCAGTGGAAGTTGGGCTGATCGAAATTCGGATCAGAAAGCGTGTCGTTGTTGATTATGGGATTTTAGTTCTCATGTATTTTACACGAGTTTGATGAAATCAAATCTAAAGTGGCTTCTTTTCTTGCTGAATATCAAGAAATTTAGAGATGGGATGATGATGAAAATGGTAAGAGTCTATTTTCTTTTCCCTGGGGTTTGGGGTGATCCTACTCTTAGCAGATAAGAATATGTTGCCTTGCTTCATTCTTTGTTTTGGTGGAATCTGTAAATCCCACCGGTGCTTGTAAATTTCAACACGTAGCTATTGGGTTGTATGGCTTCGAGTCGAACTTCTCGGGTCTTGCCGGGAAGGTGTTCCTTTCTGTTGGTTCAAATCTACAGGTCCGGTGTTCTTTCCCGTGTGGTAATTGTATGCCCGTATTTGCAGGCTCTCCCTTACATTCGGTGCATCGGGGAATCATGGCCAATGACGAAAGAGCGAGCATACTTCGAGGTAGTGGCATTGAAAGAGCATGGGCATTGGTGCCCGGATCATGTTCCGGAGGTTTATCACTTCGACCGTACTATGTCTCTGATGGGCATGCGCTACCTAGAGCCTCCACATATAATCCTGAGGAAAGGACTGATTGCTGGAATTGAGTACCCATTACTCGCGGAGCACATCTCAGAATATATGGCAAGAACCCTTTTCTGCACGTCCCTTCTGTATCATTCCACCACGGAGCACAAACGCGCAGGTAAATAAGTTCTAATGTCAATCGAGCATCTGTAGCGTTGCATTATTCCACTCTGATATTTTCCTAAGGCGGAATGCGTTTGGCTTCTTTTGTTCTTTATTTTATTTTATACTAATGTGTGGTTACACTCTTGTCCTGTCATTGTCACTGCAGTAGCGGAGTTCTGCGGGAACGTCGAGATGTGCAGGCTGACTGAGCAGGTTGTTTTTTCTGACCCTTACAAAGTATCCCAATACAACCGTTGGACTTCACCTTATCTGGATGCTGATGCTGAGGCTGTAAGGGAGGACAATGAGTTAAAGCTTGAAATAGCCGAGTTGAAATCTATGTAATGTTACTGTCTAAGAAGCTACTGTATCCTTCTTTCAGAAAAGTTAAATGAAGTGAAACATCATCTGTTTGCTGATGATTTGTGGGACGTACATATCAGGTTCTGTGAAAGAGCGCAAGCACTGGTACATGGCGATCTCCACACTGGTTCGGTCATGGTTACCCAAGATTCGACCCAAGTAATAGATCCAGAATTCGCATTTTATGGGCCAATGGGGTTTGATGTTGGAGCCTTCCTAGGAAATTTGTTTTTGTCATTCTTCTCTCAGGATGGTCATGCAAATGAAGGGAACGACAGAAAGGTATGCTTTAAATAATGAAATATCTGCCTGTCTTTATGCTTATGTCTCATAGATCTTCTAGTCCTTGACCTTGCAAAGTTCTGTAAATTGGTTTCTCTTACTTACTCCTAAATGACTACTATTGCTTATTATGTCGTGAACCTTAATATCTGTTGCTCATGCAGCTAGAATTTAACTTGAGATTTGCATACTTCTATGTATATGAAAGAAAATATACTCTCTTGTGATAATTACTTGTAGTTTATTGTTCTTTTACGCCCACCCCTAGGAAAAAAAAAATTGCTCTGCTGTTTCAGTAATCGTAGAGATGAATGGACAATTGTAATTGGTAGATAGAGGCAGTAATAAATAAGATCATTTTAGGCTCTCCTCCATTAGTCATTTTGTCTCTTTCATGCTCATAGACTACTATAGAAGAAGAAGGGAACATAAAGCTATTTTTGCCATCGATGATATATTAATGAATTGTACGATAAATGCACACATTATACAGGCATACAAGGAATGGATTTTGCAAAGCACTGAAGAGACGTGGAATCTATTCCAACAGAAGTTTGTAAGCCTCTGGAATGAACACAAGAATGGGTCTGGTGAGGCGTATCTGCCAGCAATCTATAACAATGATGTGCTGCTCGAGCTGGTCCAGAGGAAATTCATGAAGGATTTATTCCATGATACCCTTGGATTTGGTGCTGCCAAAATGATAAGGTGCAACTAAATGATGTGGCATTTCCTGCTCCTTAAATGCTTATATGTAGTTTCTGAACTTGCTAGATTTCTTAGTAGCTTTCAGGACAAATATCACATTTCGAGCATACACAGCTGTCTAAATACTTACTGTTTGCCTTCATACATCTTCGATTTCAGGAGAATTGTTGGGGTTGCACATGTGGAGGATTTTGAGTCCATAACCGATGCTGGTAAGCGTGCAGACTGCGAGCGCCGAGCTCTCAATTTTGCCATGATGCTTCTTAAGGAAAGGCGGAAATTCGAAGGAATCGGTGAAGTAGTCTCATTAGTTCGGAAATTGAACTGAGCCTTGGGCTTAGTGTATCGAGGTTCCTCTGGGTCCCCCCTCCTTTACTGTTGTGAGTCCTTATGCATATCAAAACTTATGAACGCTCTGAAGTTCCAGTATAATGTCCAATTCATCAGCAACTTTATGCTGCCTTGGATGGTTAGTTCCACTGATGAGTCATTGGTCTGGCGATGAATCTACTTGGAGGTTTGTCTACTTCGGATCATGGATGATGATTATGCTGAGCCTTTCTCGACTTTGCTTAATACAGAGCTGGTTATGGAACTACCATATGCAGATGGCAATTCTTGTTTTTTATGTTTTTTTGGCTTTCTTTTTGGTTGATCAGGCGTCCTCACTGTATATACTGTTGGATATGTTCACTGTGGTGACTTTTGCTAATGGTCTTCGAGAATCGAGAGGTAAATAAGTTGGGTGTATGATGACTTTTCGGTTGTCCTAAGTAACATTAAGTTCGTCAGTATTCGCTGGTTATAGAACAATTCTACGCTAATGAAGCGCTTGAATTCCCAGTCAAGGATTTGCTTCCTCTGCAAACTTGCTCCTTCCCAGAGAAGATGCTTATTTGTTGATACCCATTTTCTTTCATTGTTTTTACCTTCACCTTTTCTTTCTCTTATATCACACAGCAAATTGTTAATGAGGAGCGCTTTAGCTTTAACCACACATCACCTCCTTTTGAACTTCTCTGGATCAGTACAATACAGAGAATGATTTTGCATTTAACGTTGTTTTTCCCCTGGAAAACAATTATTTGGACTTTCTTCATTGCAGTGAAAGTAACCTAATTTCCATATTTTGCCTTGTAGTCACTCCAGAGCTGATCGACTGTCTTCCCCAGCAACTCAACAATATACTCAGGGCTATAACCACTCTTCATCTTCTTGTTCGTGCTGTGACATCATAGCCCTGGTTTACCTCCCTCGGTTTCACCCAGTGGCTCAGTGCATACCCTGCCTTCAACCTCGCAAAGCCGATATCCCCTCTGTTAAACCAGTTGGCACTTCTCGATTTACGAACCACTGCCATACATGCGTCATCTCATGATACAAAACCCCGGTTATCTTGTTTTTCACATCACCGGAGTAGTTTCCTATGTACTCTGAGCTCACGTGAATTTCATTCGTGTTGATAATGGCATATGCCACCCCCTCCATGGGTTCAATAAATACACTTACGTTTTGCACATCTCTTCTGTCCTCTGAGGTCAATTCTTGGAAAATTTGCCAAATGAATACAGTGGAGGAGTTCATTACTTGCTTGGTGTACTTGATGCCGATTTCACCATCGAATCTTGCTCCACCGGCTGTTGAAGACCCGTCGTTTAGCACCGTGTACTCCACAGCATGAGCTTGTTAAAATGCTGCTAAGGTAATTAGATACCACAGCAACAACACCAAGCTTTGTTTATTACCAAAACTTCTGCTAGTAAACTAACCGATTTATATTTGGTTGCAACAATAAAACATCCAGCCAATGGTGTAGCAAAAGGAATGGATTTACATCTGTTCCAACAACAGAATGTTAAGCTGATGATGTAGCAAACGAATGGATTCATATCTTTTCTAAGACAAAAACCATTTCTTATATTGGGGAGGGGTCAAGTGGTCCAGATTCAATAGCCACCTTATCGACCACTCAGCCCGCATATTGGACCTTGACTTGTCCTCACATTTCACGTTGCTTCTCATGACTTCACCAAACCTAATTGACTTTTAGAAGGAGGATGAAACATGAAGTACACCAAGGACCTATAAGGTCGACGTATGCGCTGCAAAACCGGTGCTTCTGGAACCTAAAGTATAAGGTTGACGAATGCCACCACAAATAATAGCTTGGTCAATGATTCTTCGCTTGCCATTGTAGAACTTAACTTCATAACGTTATCAAACACAAACCAATGTGGAACTTAATTTGTAGTTCTTAGAGCTACTAACACTTTCCATGCTGTGGCCCCTCAAGAGTGTATGTAGCTTGTGCACCTTGGTCCGACCAGACGACGGTACTGGGCAGCAATGGCATGCCGAGTGGGCTAAACAGTCCCCAGATAATTCCACGATACATAAATCGCGTGTGTGATGCGCAAGATGATGGATCAGGTTGTAGCCGCAACATAGAGAGCTGCTGCCACCCACTTTGATCAGCTCTACCCAAGATGCATGCCTGAAAAGAAAACCGAAAGAAAGAGAATCTGTGAAAATCAAATATACCCGAAAGAAAGAGATCTGTGAAAATCAAATATACCACCTTCAAGCAGGATCACCAAACATCCAAACAAGAGCACAACCACCTTGACTTTTCCACTCAATTATTTACGTAAATCCAGGAGGCTGAGGCAGGATCATGACAGGCAGTGCATGCGTAGAGTAGACCAATAAGGCTCAATTCCCCTGCAATATAAGGAATCAAGAGCGAGAAGATTGCTTCCAACTATCACTAAGCATGTATGTCAATACCAGTCTCACACTAACCATCAGCTAATAACATTGTATGGTTCATAAGATGCAATTACATACAGATATAAATATTAGAATCATCTTCACAAAATGGAACCAGACTGTCTTAACAATCAAAACAAGGTAATGCTGTCACCATGATTCATTAACATGAAGTCAGTCTCAAGTTCCTTGTCCCATGACCGATCCTTGTTCTTCTACATGTTCCCTTGTAAAATCACTAAAAAGTAAGCCCTCCTGTCCATGCCAATGACCATCTAAATGACAATGTTTCAACTCGAATATTGTTTCCACATGCCAGGTTTAGACTATGAGACATTGTCTTCTCTGTTTTCAGGAAACAGGTAAAGGAAGTTCAGTAAGCCTGCTAAAACACCAAAGGGTTTAGTCAAGAAAAAGAATGAACTATTTCCTAGTTACACCAATCTTATATACTTTAACCATGAAGTAAAGCAAGCATATTACACACCGTTGTGAAGGAAAGTAAGGCAAGTATATTACACACCGTTGTGATGGACAAAATCCAGACTAGTCTGTCAAATATTCCAGAGTTCAATAGCTGGCTAGAATCAACACTGAAACCCATGTGATATAAATGGACTACTCCAGAGAAATATTTAGGTTTCCTCCATAGTTTTCACCAACAGATGCCTGAAAGATTAAATGCCAGAGAAACAGGAAACAGACTTGTTATGTATAGGCCAAGCGATGAACAAGGTTGAAGCTGTACTACCGGAATTCGTAAAGCAAAATGAAGAACCACCAACTTGAAGGTAGGGAAAGACGGTATTCTGAACTTGGAGGAATAATTTCGACTTCACTGCTAACCTGCACAAAAGCAATGGAGCAATCAACAGATAGAAAGAGAAACTTGATCAAAATATACATTTTTTTTTTAAAATTTGGAAACAGAATGCTACTAGCATATTTTCCCACAGACTAATCAATACAGCAAACTACAAAGTCCTGCATATCTCACCCACAAAAAATTATTTAACCACCAAAGAAAAAGAGAGAAAGTGAAGTCTCCTGTCCTCCCTCTAACACCACATCCCACAATTTAGAGAAGTCCTTTTCTACTGGCAGCAATTCACTTTGCTTCTATGCCAAAAAAAGTCCGTAAAATTAAAATCCCCATACGATATTGATCTAGTAAACAAAAAAAATAACTGCTCCGGTTGCGAGCTTGTCGAAGAAAACTAGTTTATATTGAGGCTCCTTTTGTTTCTCGTAAAATGAATGATTTGGAAAACATTTTCCAAAAAATGATCTTTTGAATCATTTACAAAACTAAATAAACGAAAAATATCTTCATTGTACAGGAAATTGTTAAGACATAGATTGTTGTCGATAACGAAAATATTTTTCTTTGGCTAATTATTTCAAGCGATGCAAGCGATCATTTTAGAAAATGTTTTCCATATAATTCATTTTCCGCGAAACAAACGGAGACTGAGAGGCTATAAGAAGTGTTCATGTTCTATACATTATAGAAATCAGAATCTTAAGCATTGAAGGACAAAAGGAGCCAAATATTACTCAATTTATCTAGATCTGAGTTCACATGAAGTAGGGATGTTCAATACTTGCATCTTAATTAACTTCACTTAATAAGACAGTCTTCTTATAGAGGAATTTTCATACAAGAGGTAGATTAGATTCCAAGCAGCCATGCTGATAGCGCTAAACATCCCCAACTCAAATACTATTGAGAATAAAAAGTACATTGAGAAAACAGAAAAAATAACTACTTGCTTCAAACCTGAGAACAAGGTTTGTTGATATGCTGGATGATCATATATTTTCTATTATAGGAAAAGACAATTTATGGAAGAACACTACGCGAGGAAAGCAAACTCAGAAAGGAAAAAAGAATCCTAAATTGTGTATATGGATACCTTCTAATGTGGCGAAAGCAAATATAGACCTCTTCAATGTCCCATTCTATCTTCAACTTAATGTACTGCTTCAGAAGCTCAAACAAGCTGCTAGTAGCTTCATTCCAATCATTAGTGGTCATATCCTTATGGGATGGAATTTCAGAAATAAACCTCTGCAGAACTGATGACAATTTTCCAGGTGCTCCTGATCTTTGATATGTCTCAGCCAACCTATTCAATATCAAGCAATTGCTGACTTCGAATCTATCAACCCAACATGGAGGATTCCCTATCCAAAGTTCAGTCTCTCTCAGAACTGAACCTGAACTTTTGTCTGGACTCTCGGTATTTGAGTTATCCTGACATATGTCTGCACTTCCACTGAAGTGAGCAATCAAAGAGACATCTTGTCCCCGGTGGGCAGGAAGTTGCTGGAGAATGCCATCTCGTAATTCTTCAGGCAACTCTTGCAGCACAGAGCAGTCTACTTGACTCAGAGATATCGGCATCAAGTCTGTCTTCGTAAGACTTGGCACTGAAGCCACCGTATTAGAGCAGCTTGGTTTAGACACACGGAAAAGATCTGTTTCCTGAAGAAGAGGCTTCTCTGTCTAAAAATAGTAAACCAAAATAACAACGAAGACAATGAGAAAAGAAGAAGACAGAATATATATTATTTCCGTTTATCCTTAAAAATCCAGGAGCAAGTAGTTACGGCCATAAACTGCCAATATCAGGGTATATTCTGGTCACAGCACATCAATAGGGATGGGTGTACCAGTTCTTATAAATAAGGGATGTAAGGCATAGGGTCAGTTGGTTCAGTAATTTCAGTCAGCGTGCATTTAAGCATGTTAGAAGTAGTAAAAAGGGTAAAGTGGTCCTTATGACCTTTAGGTCTTATTTTTGGTATATGTATTGGACACTAGTTGTGAATACATGACAAGCTTTTCCCTCTCTCTCTCTTTATTTCTCATGGTATCAGAGCCCCGACCCTAGCCGCTGCTGCCGGAACAACCCGTCGCCGGCGTCGTCGCCGTCGCCAGAACAACCCGTCGCTGGCGACCCCAGCTCGCTCAACCCAGCTCGCGCGACCTAGCTCGCGCAGGGCTCCAGCTCGCACGACCCAGCTCGCACGGGGTTCTAGCCGCGCGACCCAGCTCGCGCGGGGCTCCAGCTCGCGCGACCCAACTCAAGCGGGGTTCCAGCCGCGCGACCCAGCTCACGTGGGGCTCCAGCTCGCGCGATTCAGGTCGTGCGAGTCACGCGAGCCTGGTGATTGGAGGTTTCCTCACCATTGATGTGAACTGAAGGTCTCCTTGGCTCCGTGAACTGAAGGTCTCTCCCCCTCTGTTCCTCCTTTGTTCCATTGTTCCTCTGGAATTGCTTTATGCAAGAAATTTGTGAAACTGGCCAATAGTTTCAGCATGTGTTATTGTCCCTCGATGGAATGACAAGCAAATGAAAATTCTTCAAGATGGATTTCAAGCTGGCAGGAAGGTGTTCTTAGCCTTTTCATAGTTGCCTGCAGTGGTTTTGTTGCTGGACTATGCTGTCGTTGTTGCCTTGCTTGCTTTTGTCGCTCTTCAATACTGGCCAGGTTAGATTGCTTGGTTGTTAGACCTTAGATTATGGATGTTTGATCAATCGGGTTATGATTTATCGATTGGTGGAGTTGTGGAGGAAGGCTGGTAACGTTGACGAGGCTTGGGAGCCAGTATACGGTCCGTTGGATTGCTAAATTGTTGTGATATATGGTCTGTTGAAGTGCTGAATTGTTGTGCCAGTATACGGTCTGCTGGGATATTGAAGGATGGGTGATTCTGAGAGGAATAACCTTGTGATGACTGAGGTGATGTCCTCTTCGTCTAATCGAATTACTGATAAGAAGCTTGTGGGTAGTTCTAACTTCCATCAATGGAAGAAAATTGTGAAGCTTACTTTGACAGGGAGGAATCAGATTAGACACATAACTAAGCCGAAACCCGAAGATGATGCAAATTAGGATATTGTTGATGCATGCATCCTTGGTCAGATGTTAAACGCTATGGAAAATAATATAGTTGATCTAGTAATTCATATCGACACGGTCAAAGAAATGTGGGAATATTTGAATGTATTATATTCTGGCAAGAATAACCTGTCACGAGTTTATGAGTTATCGCAGGAGTTTTACCGATCTGAAAGGAAGGGACGTCCTATGACGCAATACTTTGTTGAGTTTAAGAGAATGTATGAGGAGTTGAATGCTATTCTTCCCATTTCAGCCAATATTCAGCAAATGCAACTTCAAAGAGAACAATTGGCCGTAATGGTGTATCTAGCAGGCATTGGTCCTGAATATGAAACTGTTAAGTCTCAGATTCTTGGAGGAGAGGCTGTCGCATCACTCACGGATACGTTTGCTCGGGTACTTCGGGTATCTCGTGAGTCTCCTCAGGATATTACACCTATGGCAGATAGTTCAGCTCTTGTGTTCCAATCTCGATCGGGTAGCGATAGCAGGAGTGATGGAGGAAATCGTGAAGGATATAGTGGACGTGGTGGCCGAGGTGAAGGACCAGGGAGAGGCCAAGGCCAACAGCACGTGTCTACTAACAACTCAGGAGCCATACGGACGTGTCATTACTGTGGGAAAGCTGGCCATATTCAAAAAATTTGTTATAAGTTACATGGAAGATCAGTGCAGCAACAACAGTTTGCACATACTGCTTCTGGTACTGATTCTTCTCCACAGTCTTCTGAAGGCAAGGTAGTTGTTATGTCTGATGAGGAGTTTGCACGGTACCTCTTCCTTCAGCCAAAACTGCTATTGGTTGTCGTTGGATATTTGCTGTGAAAGTTAATCCCGATGGTTCTCTGGCTCGTTTAAAAGCACGACTTGTTGCAAAAGGGTATGCTCAGGTTTATGGAATTGACTATCTAGACACTTTTTTTCCTGTTGCCAAACTTACTTTTGTTCGTATTTTGATATCCCTTGCTGCCACATATAACTGGCGTTTATTTCAGCTTGATGTTAAGAATGCCTTTTTGCATGGTACTCTTCATGAGGAAGTTTATATGGAGCAACCTCCGGGGTTTGTTGCTCAGGGGGAGTCTGGGGTTATGGTTTGCAAATTAAGAAAGTCTTTATATGGTTTGAAGCAATCCCCACGAGCATGGTTTGGAAGATTTTCTGATGCTGTACTTTCTTTTGGACTGTCTAGATGTGGAAATGATCATTCTTTCTTTTATAAACAATCACGGGAGGCAAACGTTCTTGATTGTGTATGTTGATGATATTATCATCACGGGAGATGATTTGACTGGTATAGTTGAACTAAAGATTTATCTTCAGCAACAGTTTCAGACTAAGGATTTAGGAAAATTGAAGTATTTCCTAGGAATTGAAGTTGCTCAGTCACATAAAGGTATTGTTCTATCACAAAGAAAATATGTGCTGGATTTGCTTAATGAGACAGGTATGTTGGGATCAAAACCTCTTGATTCACCCATGGAACAAGGGGTCAAACTAGCTGCTGAGGGAGGAGAAACTCTTGATAACCCGGAGAGATATAGGAGACTGGTAGGAAATCTGAATTATCTTGCAGTCACTCGACCAGATATTGCCTTTCCAGTTAGTGTGGTAAGCCAGTTTCTATCTTCTCCTCATACATCTCATTGGAATGCAGTTATTCGGATATTGAGGTACTTGAAAAAGACTCCAGGAAAAGGAATTATTTACCAAAATTATGGTCATAGCAAAGTCGAAGGATTCTCGATCTTGATTGGCGGTCTCCGGATGATAGAAGATCAACTACCGGCTATTGTACCTTGGTTGGAGGAAATCTAGTATCATGGAAGAGTAAGAAACAAAATGTTGTTGCACGCTCGAGTGCCGAGTCAGAATATAGAGCTATGGCACAAGTAACATGTGAATTAGTGTGGATTCAACGAGTTATTGACGAGATAGGCTTCAAAGCTTCGGTACCCATGACTCTATGGTGTGACAATAAAGCTGCAGTACATATAGCTTCCAACCCTGTGTTTCATGAGAGAACAAAACACATTGAGGTTGATTGTCACTTTATTCGGGAAAAGTTGCAGAGTGGAATGATCATTCCCAATCATATTCGAACCGGTGAACAACTTGCAGATATTTTTACTAAACCTTCGGGTAATGGAAGGATAGAATATATTTGTAACAAGCTGGGCATGATTAACATCTATGCTCCAGCTTGAGGGGGAGTGTTAGAAGTAGTAAAAAGGGTAAAGTGGTCCTTATGACCTCCTTCATAAACGGGACCTTCTCCCTAACTTTGGGGGGAATGTAAGAATGATTAGATTCTTTCAGTAGCTTTATTTTTTCTGTCAAAGTAATGAGTATCGAAAAAAGCATGCACGACGCATTAGTCTATCAGGAATTCGCAATCAATTGATTCTGTTATTCTTTTTGGAACTTTTCCCTACAAGTGTATTTCCATCCACCAAAAATAAGCCTAGAAAGAATAACTTTCACTATCACAGAAGCTGGCTTCAAAAAATGCAAAGGTGAATGGAAGTGCATTGCGCATATAGATGTGTACTCATTGTCAATTGGTCTAAAAACTAACTGTTGGACACTATATTTTTTATTTTTATCCTCCAAAAGGGAGCTTTTTTATTTTGGACCAAGCTCTAAAAGGGAGCTTCACCACCTGAAAATAGGATCATTTCAAAAGAGTTAACCTGTAATATTCTCATATTTTTAGAATACTCTTTGATTAAGCAATAAATAGAAGATGCGAAAAGTGGCATTTAAACTTCAGACTACAATAGATTGATAGCAGAGATGCAACCCCGCATGCCAAAGAACTGATCCCTGCCCTTCCCAAAAAGTTTACAATTTCTGATTTTATGAAGTTGCGGTTTTTCAAAGAAGAAAAATGGTTTCTTCCATTTCTTATTTCTTATCATACTTACATAACATTTAAATAGGGCCTACAGTAACTAGAAAATAGCAAGAAATAAAAACAGATTTCCTACTTCTTAATTCTAGCGATTGACTTCCTAATCCTTAAAAAGAAATAAAATAAATGGAAACAAAATATTCGTATCTCGAGATTTTCTCCGAGATCTCTAAGATTTTCATCTAATTCTTTGACAGATTTTCCTCAAGATCTTCGAGATTTTCTTCTAATTCTTCAACAGAAGTCAACGAGTAAAGGAACTCCAAGAAAAATCATAAAATCAAGCCAAAAGCTTGTTCCAACTAAAAATAGAGATCCCATATTGTTGAAAACCAGATCCGGATATTTTAGTTAGCGAGTAGAAGTTCGATTATTTTGTTTCCAGATTTTCAGGATTTTGTTTGTTAGCTTTTAGGAATTTGTTTCCTAAGTTTTAGGGTGCTGATAATTTTTTTAAACTAGCGAGATACTAACCAGATTTATGGCTAGTATATCGGCTTTTTGCTTCGAGTTAGCACAAAATAATTAGCTGGACGAGCAGCTATAAAAGGCCGAGGCCTCATGTAATTTCGTAGCCCTTTCGGAGAATAAAAGTTAGAACAATTTCTCCTAAACTTCTACATGGTATCGAGCTCGATCCGGACCATTCTTTTCTACCACATCTCGAGCGTTTCCACCATGACAAAATACCCTAGAGCCACCATGGCAAGCGAGGTTGAGAGTGAAACCTCGGACCCTAAAGCTCGAAACTCTCCTTTGATTACCCAACCTATCAATGTATCCGAAGGGGAACTCTTCTCATCACCGGTCATAAACTTACCGGTCACAACTTCAATCAATGGTCCCATTCTGTCATGATTTTCGTTTGCGGAAACGGTAAAGAAGATTACCTAACTGGAGTTGCCGTACAACCGAGGCGACAAGCCCAAACTATCGAACATGGAAGGTGGAAAATAACATGGTGATGTCCTGGCACGCCGAATTCAATGACGAATGAAACAGGAGAATTTCATGTATTACCAAACAGCGAAGGAGATTTGGGATGCTGTTCATGAAACTTATTCCAACAAAGATAACACCTCAGCCATCTTCGAGATCAAGGGCATTCTTCATGATCTAAGGCAAGGGGAATCTTCAAATCACTGATTATTTTAACCAACTTATGCGTCATTGGCAGCAACTTGACATGCCGGAAGATATGATGTGGAGTTGTCCTGAAGATAAGCAAAGCGGTACACGATTCAAGATTGAGAACGCATCTATAAATTTCTGTTAGGCTTGAATCAAGAGCTTGACGAGGTACGTGGACGGGTTCGAGCATAAAGCCCCTACCTAATGTACGAGAAGTTTTGCGAGGTCGGGAGAGAAGAGACTCGGCGAAAGGTGATGCTTGGTTGTTCAAAAACCAGACCAATCCAGAAAATTCTGCTTTAATAGCCCGAGGATCTCAACCATCCTATCCTACGATTGAGGCCTCGGTCAAACAACAACAACCAGCGAAAGGGTGGTCGTCAGTGGTGTGATCATTGCAAACGGACAGGTCACACAAAAGACACATGCTGGAAACTTCATGGTCGGCCGATGATTGGAAGCCACGCCCACGTCCTACTCAAGACCGGGAGAGCGTAAGCAACATAGTCCAAACCGAAACAAACGCTCGGTAGATTCGAGTCCCTTCAACAAAGAGCAACTGGAGATGCTGAAAAAGCTCGCTATAGGAATCGGTTCGGAAGGCAACCCGTTCGAAGGGTTAAGATAAAGAACAATAGCTCAACGAGGTAATTCTCTAAATGCCTTTAGTGCTAAACAGAGAAAATCACCTCTTGGGTTGTAGACTTGGAGCATCCGACCACATGACCGGAGATATCACCGGTGTTCAACGAGTACAATCCATGTCAAAACGGCACTAGCGTTCGAATTGCTTTGATGGTTCTTGCTCAAAGGTGGCTGGTGTTGGATCGGTGGTTATTTCAAAAGATATAACAACTTAATTCGATTTATTTATTCCCAAACTCAGCTATAATCTTCTCTCCATCAGCAAGTTAACCAAAGATTTAGGCTGCACTACTAAATTTTTCCCACACTCATGTGAATTTCGGGTTTTGAACTCGGGGATGACGATTGGCGATCTTGAGATGGATGCGGCCTCTACCTTCTGCGAGTTAATGCCTCGAATGGAAAAACAAGAAGATGTCATGTGTAGCATCTCGTGCGAAGGAAGAGAGTGAAGTAAGATTGTGGCACTAGGTTAGGTCATCATCCAATTTCTCGTACTTAAAAGGTTGCTACCTTCTTTGTTCAATAAAGATTCAATAAAATTTCAATGTGAGGTGTGTCAATTATCCAAACATACTGCAGTTGATACCCTTTGCAGCCTTATAAGTCTTCTCATCCATTTCACATGATTCATAGTGATATTTGGGGACCTTCTCGTGTCAATAATATTACTGGTTCTAGGTGGTTTGTTACCTTCATTGATGATCACACAAGACTCACTTGGCTTTTTCTAATGAAAGAAAAATCAGATATTGGCCGAATTTTTCAAACCTTCAACCAAATGATCCAAACCCAATTCAGCACAAAAATCCAAGTTTTCAAAACGGATAATGGGAGAGAATACTTTCACTCACAGCTCGGGTCATATCTAAATAGCCAAGGTATCATACATATTAGCTCTTGTGTAGAAACTCCACAACAAAATGGAGTGGCGGAGAGAAAAAATAGGCATCTTTTGGAAGTCGCCCGTTCTCTTATGATAGCCACTCATGTTCCTAAACATTTTGGGGAGAAGCAGTGTTAACAGCCACATATCTCATCAATCGTATGCCTTCCCGTGTTCTAGATTTCCGAACACCATTTCAAAGGCTACTTCATACCTACCCACATATTCGTTTTGCCTCACATATCCCACTCAAAGTATTCGGCTGCACAACATTTGTTCATATAAATCAGCAACATCGCAGCAAGCTAGATCCTAAGTCCCTCAAATGTGTGTTTCTAGGATACGCTCCAAATCAAAGTGGATATAAGTGTTATTGCCCACAAACAAAGCGTTTTTATACCACCATGGATGTTACCTTCTTTGAGCACCAGCCCTTTCACTCCAAAAATATCATTCAGGGGGGAGTTGTGAGGAATATTATTTTTTGGGACATTTCTCAGTCATTCGGGTCACAACAAACAAATTCTCCTTGTCTTCCGTATCTACCCATTCCAACATCCGAGAGTCATCCAACATCGGAAAGTCTTTCGTGTCTACCCATTCAAGATGCTACACAAGACAAAAATAAAGAGGTAATTGTCTACTCTAGGCGGAAGACTCAAAAGGAGTTGGAGGACCGTACTACATCAAGGCCGGCTCAAGAGACAGATCCGAGTTCAAGACCCACCGTCGATGAAGGTAATGCTTCGCAAACTCAGAAAATTCTGCTGTACTTGATGATCTTAATCAGCCTATTGCTCTTAGGAAGGGAAGAGACGGTCACTCAACATCCCATTAACAACTTTGTGTCTTACGAAAAGTTGTCTCCGAAATACAAGGCATTTGTTTCAACGTTGAGCGACATTCAAATTCCCAAGAATATCCATGAGGCACTTGCTCAATCTGAGTGGAAAAGAGCGGTTCTTGAGGAAATTCATGCACTTGAGAAGAATAAAACTTGGGAATATACAGAATTGCAGCTGGGAAGAAATTGGTGGGATGTAAGTGGGTCTTTACAGCTAAGCACAACGCCGATGGTAGTGTTGATCGTTTCAAGGCAAGGCTAGTCGCTAAGGGATTCACACAATCATATGGAATAGACTACGAAGAAACCTTCGCTCCGGTGGCCAAACTAAACTCCATCCGAGTGTTGCTCTCTTTCTGCGCCTAACTTGACCGGCCCTACAACAATTAGACATAAAGAATGCCTTCTTAAATGGGGAATTGGAGGAAGAAGTCTTTATGGAGGTCCCACCTGGAATTGACACTAAAGAGAGCTTCAACAAGGTGTGCAAACTCAAGAAATCCCTATACGGCCTAAAGCAATCACCTCGTGCTTGGTTCGAGAGGTTAACAAGGGTCGTTGAGAAGCCGAACTTCACTCAATGTCAAACGGATCATACAATGTTTGTCAAGAAGTCGATGAAGGTAGAAGAGCAATAATGATCGTATACGTCGATGATATAATCCTAACTGGTGACAATCGGAGGAGATTGGAAAACCGAAGAATATCTTGGCACAAGAATTCGAAGTTAAAGACCTAGGTCAACTCAAGTACTTCCTAGGTATGGAGGTAGCTCGGTCACGGAAAGGGATTGCAATTTCCCAACGCAAGTATACTCTTGATCTCTTGAAGGAAACCGGTATGCTTGGGTGCAAACCAGCCGACAACCCCATGGATTCTACCTATAAAACCGAGATGGAAGAAGAAGGACCATTAACGGACAAAGGAGATATCAAAGATTAGTTGGCAAACTAATCTATCTCTCACATACTCGGCCGACATTGGTTTCGCGTAAGTATGGTTAGTAGATACATGAACCAACCAACAGAGAAGCACTGCAGCGGTTTTCGAATCTTACGATTCGAAGAGAAGTCCTGGAAGAGGGCTTTACTTTAAGAAAACGAGAGGAGAGAAACGTGGAGATTTTCACGGATGCGAGATTGGCGGATCTCTCACGGACCGAAGGTCAACAACGAGGTATTGTACCTTTGTATGGGGCAACATGGTTACTTGGAGAAGCAAGAAGCAACCCGTTGTTGCTAGGAGCAGCGGAAGCGGAGTTTAGAGCAATGTGTCAAGGAATATGTGAAGGCATGTGGTGAGAAGAGTCTTAAATGAACTAGGATTCACTAATACCAATCCTATGTTATTATTATGTGACAACAAAGCTGCTATTGAGATTGCCAAGAACCGGTTCATCATGATAGAACAAAACATGTGGAGATCGATCGACATTTCATCAAAGAAAAACTTGATGAAGGAATATTGAAGCTCTTGTATGTTCCAACCAATCATCAAACAGCGGATATATCGACCAAGGTTTTATCCGAGAATAGTTTCGAGACTCTAGGTGCAAAGTGGGTATGATAGACATTCATAACCCGGCTTGAGGGAGTGTTGAAAACCGAGATCCGGATATTTTAGTTAGCGTAGAAGTTCGATTATTTTGTTTCCAGATTTTCAGGATTTTGTTTGTTAGCTTTTAGGAATTTGTTTCCTAAGTTTTAGGGTGCTGATAATTTTTTTAAACCAGCAGATACTAACCAGATTTATGGCTAGTATATCGGCTTTTTGCTTCGGTAGTTAGCACAAAATAATTAGCTGGACGAGCAGCTATAAAAGGCCGGAGGCCTCATGTAATTTCGTAGCCCTTTCTGGAGAATAAAAGTTAGAACAATTTCTCCTAAACTTCTACACATATGATGCACTAGACATAAATCTGGGAAAACTACTTTCCCTTTTTATAGAATACAGAATTAAAAATCACTTTAAAAAGTAGTAATGCAGCTTCAGAATTATCCAAAGTCTTTAACCCAAAGCATAGGGCAATTATTCATTAAACAGCCATTCCAAAAACTGTTTCAAATAGCAAGAAATACGAAGTTACGCATCTACATCATACAAATCCAGAATCTATTTACCTGTTGATCTTGTTGAAATCTGTCCACATGATTGGTACCAGAAAAGTACACCTCTGCTCCATCTCTTGCACCTTCTTGAGAAATCTAGTTAGTAGCCAGACTAAAAGTAGCGAGCAATAAATTTATGCGTGAAAGGCACCAACCTTTCACTACTTTCTGTGAATGCATGGATGGAGAACTCCCTCTGACTTCACCATCGCCTATGCTGTTGGACTTGCCCTTGTCTTTAGAAACAAACGCAACTAATTTCCCTCCATAAGCATCATTTAATTCAGAAAAGACTTCCGGTGGGAGTGACTCTATGACTCCAACATCTAGATGACATAAAGCTGGTCGTGTGACAGACCGATCCAAAGAAGCTTTACAATCTGATGGACTGTTGTCAACTTGATTGGAATTCCGAGCTAAGTGAGGAAACAGATTACTTGAAGCCCCATCCACATTCTGGCCCTCTGAACCTGCCACAATGACAATCAGAAATTAGCATATATGAAACCAAGTAACATATGTCACAGGTAACTTCCCAAATAATAAGAATGATACTTTAATTAAACTTAAAATTATGAGAAGAGACGCAAGGGAATGTGAAAACACTTTTTCTGGTAAACATAAACTGAAAGATGCAACTAGAGAGAAACTACAGTAACTTCTATCATAAGAAAAGTGACTACACAAGGAATTCAACTTCTAATAACTTACCATATAAAAAGAATATGAATAATATATGGCAGAACAAAGGAGAAAATGGATTACAGGAAGCATTCTCTAATTTAGGAACAACATGCAGAAATTTCAATGAAACAAATTTACAAAGACATTTTCATTTTCACTGTGTGTAACCAATGATCCATCTCTAATTGGCCACCAATTACCTTAGCTTTTCCGGGGACAAAAAAGAGATACAGGGAAACTAAACAAAACAAAAGTTCCGTCGTAGAAGTCAGAAATGCTGCTCATTCTGTCCAGAATGACAAAGAAACACCACTTCTAGAAGTTTCAAAGGAAAAAAAAAAGGAAAGGATGGTCACCTATGTCTCGATTTGCAGAGGTAGAGGCAAGCCATGACTTCAATTGATTTCTTTCGAGTCCTTCAGGGAAAACACAAAGGCACTGAAAACTTGAAGGGTGAAATAATGAAAGAACTAACATTACGACAATATGCACGCATGTGGTTGGATGTATGTAGTACGTATACAAGTTTGAGGCACATAAAAGATCATAAAAAAAAAAAAATTGAAAAGGTCATCAACGACATGCTTTCTTCAAATTATAATTTTTATGATAGTAGCGGTAACAGAAGCTTGTGCAGGCATTTTTAAGTTAACCTTGTTTAGAAGCGTCCGCACTTTCAAGGCGGGAAACTTGCAGGCCAACCCCACGAATCTCCTTGACATCTATATGAAATTAGAAAAATCAAATCTGATCAATCCTAATACTCTTAAAGAAATTTGAGAAGTACGTTATGTCAACCAAAGGAGGCAAGGTCCACCTATATAAAATGATCCAAAGAGCTGCATTGTTATCCTCTGAATAACATCTATATCATCTGTAGCAACTGGAACCTGTAGCCAATATCAATGGAATCATAACCTTTCTATGAAGCAAAACATATGAAACTAAAAGTAGAAAACCAAAGAACTTTGCATGCAGGCAAATATATTTTTATGGAGAAGGTGCATAAAATGGTGTCGGCCCCATGATACCGTTATTGTGTGGCTGAGGTTTTCACAATCTCCACAACCCATGTATTTTGCAGGCTCTTCAGCATCCTTCCTTCTCTTCTTAATCTATATCAAAGTTACACACAGTACATCCATTTTATGAGACATGACAAAGCAAATGAAGGCTGGATCATCTTTTTTCTTGGCCAAAAAACTGACCCTAGTAAAACTGCATTCAAGGTAGACTAGAGTTAGCTAAAATACCTTAAGAGTAAACTTTCGCCCATGAACTCCACATCCCTGCAACCTCAAATGGACTTCTTTACAAAGGTTTACAAGAAACAATTTGCTCTGGAACAGCATAAACCAATTTGTCAGTCAACATTGCATTCCGATAAAAGGAACAAAAGAAAATAATGACGAAGCTTCTGTACTATAGTTGAGAAACCAACATCTTTTGCATCCTTGAACCTCACACCCCAATTAACTTCAGCACCAATTGACTTGCTTTCCTGCAACTCAGAAATAAGAATAGTGAAAATGAAACTACTTCACTAATCAAAAGCAAAGACAGAGAGACTGATCTAAACAAGACTGACAATGCTCGACACTTGACTATGAAATGGAGCTGATACTGTTTCCAGAAGAGAAAGATCACGAAAGCCTATTCAGCATAATATAGGCTTTATTTTAAGGAAATTTTAGTTCAAGACTCCATAACCCAGCACAGACCACAAGAGTACCAAACTATCAGAATACAACAAACAAAATGAAAGCATATGGCAAATTCCCACCAATGATTTAGGGGCCGAATGGGAAAAAAACTCTGGTAAGGAATGACTGGCAGGTCAACTGATTGAGCTGTGGATTGGTTTAATTGGTCACTTTTGGTTTAAAATAACATAGAAATGGCCTCTATTTAGACATCACATGTGCTTTAGCTTCAAGGTACAAGCAAAATCCAATGCATGCACACATCAATTTATATGGAGCAGAAACTACGAGCAAAGCAAGCATGACGACTCATTCGGTAGATAAATTTCACCGGTGTACCTGAATTGTGCCGACCATCCTGTTGTCCACTCCTCTACTGAAATTCCACAACATCTCCCCTGTTTTCGCACCAAAATCCTTCTGAAGAGAATCCTATAATGCCAAGAAATTTGGGTAAAAGCAATACTACCCGTATAATTTGAAGGCTACAGTGTCAGTGTAATTGTACTTCAAACATTCAGCATCAATTTTTTGGATAGCAGTTTAGATTACCAGAAGTCTACATAAAATGTTCCCGTTAAATATTGAAATCTCGTATATTCTACCTTCTTAGTAGTTCATCTAGTCAGGTAAATGTATCAGGAATCATGATAGATGTGGAGAAAACATCTGCAGGTTTAACAGGTCTTTACATCTGTGACCAGTCAAATAGTTGTCTGGTGTTGTAACAAGTGGGTGCTTGACCTCTCATTTTCCTAATATACAAAAGGTGGCGTTGCCAGGTATCACTGCAAGTTAACTAACCCTATGTATTTGCTTTGTTGCATCAGTTGTGAGAAATTTTGTTTCAACTTGTACTCAATAAAATTATAAAGAGCTTGAAGCAGTTCAAACGATAAGACCTTTGACATCATACGCAGCTGTCCACAAGTCCATATATTTCGCTTCTTCAATTTATCCTCTAGAACATGCCCTATTCCAGGAAGTGCATTTATAGGAAGCTTGCACAAATATTCATCCACCTGAAATATTCAACCACTTTTTATCTTCCAGAATATCAACATAAATGGCCAAACAGCGACAGAAATAATAACAAGGAATCGCTATAGAAGATAGAGGCTTAGCTAAGAAACACTGATTTGTTCAACACCATAAGAAGCAAACTCATCCTTAATATGGAATAGACGACACCTCCAAATTCTATCAATGTCTTGAAGTTACTGTTTATACCACAAATCCACTTTTTTCAGAAAGATGTGATCACGAGCAGCACGATTTGCGGAAACAATAACATGACTGCAGAAACATGTTGCATGGGATTATTAATGAACTACAGCTCATTCAAGCATCGAACATCTCGTGCCACTACAGCATTTCAACATCTCTTGCCACCAAAGTGCAACTCTAAAGAGACCAACAAGTTGTTCAATAGAATTATATGTACTAAATTAAGATCTTTCAAAGAAAAAAATCGCACTTCTACATAATGCACTACGTGTGAAACATGAGTTATGCTTGCCACAAATGCCCTGTCCCCTTTAAATTGTCAACCAAAGCCTCAATAGTTGGAGCAATTTCCATTATGTAGGGCTTTCAAATTAGATGAGGTTTTTGAAAAGATGAACTTCATGGAGAACATAATATAGAAAACGAAGAATAACAACATGCACTTGACAGATAATAAAATAGGCAAGTATCTTGGCATATCTGTAAACCAAAAACCCTGCTTATTAATTAAACTGTACCTTTTCTAAGGGGATGTAGCACTGACCATTTGGCTTAGCAGTCTTGGTAGCTAGGCGAGCCATTAGCATATTCCCAGCTATACCAGCACTTGCAGTGCATCCAGTGGTCTCAAAAACCTCTCTTCTTATTATAGAAGCCAGAAGCTGAGGATCTTCCACTTCTGAATCTGCGACATCTAAAAATGCTTCGTCACAGCTCACTGCCTGCAAAACCAGTTGCAGTAGTTACCAAAATTACTGTAAAGGAATCTGTAAATAGAAGCTGCCATGGGTCAAACCTGCACTGTTGTGCAGTGCTTATGCAATATGCTGTAGAACTTATCAGCCACCTGTAAATTGCCAAAAATAATGTCCAAATAAAATTTACACAAACTAAAGGGACTTCATCTCTAAGCCCTCACAAAAGAATAACTAATGAAACAAGGATGAGTTACCTCTGTGTAAGCTTCAAAGTTGTATGGAAAAATGACGAGATGAGGACAACGTGCTTTGGCATCTCGGACGAACATACCAGCCCTAATTCCTTTAGAAAACGAGGTTCAACACTCACATAAAATATACCAGAAATTCCACCAATGGCTGAGAGAGATAAGCAAATACAGACCATAGTCTCGAGCAGGATAATTTGCAGATGAAATTTCAGCAGTGCCTTTTGGATTGTCTGAGTGGCATATAGCCACAGGTATATCATGTAATTCAGGAAGGCTCCTGATGACCACTGAAACGAAGAAGCAATCCTGAAGCAGCACAAGACAATCATTGACATGCTAATGCTGTATGTACTAACGAGAAACAATTACTTAAAAGGAGTCCGCATAAACTATCCAGCGAACAACCATCTCAACTAAGTGAAATCATTGCATCTCCAATAGGATGATACATGTTTCTAGAGCTACAGGAGAAAATTACCATGTCAACATGGATGACGCATGTCTTTTTAGAATCATCCGATGCTTTAAGATCAAAGCTTGTGCACTTAACCCGGTTGAGAGAACTAGGAAACCGCTTGCGATACCTATGTCTCCATGTTCCTATGAAATGTAATCTCGAACTCTGAAACACCAAATAGCAATTATGTGAAAATCAAAAGAGTTCATTCGCTAAATTAGGCAGTAGACATATTTAATCAAAAAATTGCTCAAACATCAATAAAAAGTGAACACTGATTCATGGTTCTGCAAACGGCAGGATCAGAAAATGAAACTTTTTATTAGAGTTGAAGACAGTGCACTAAAATCAAGATTTTCATTGAGCAGAATTTTATCAAACCTTAATTTAACAAATATATAACAGCAGTGAACTGGAAATAACTGTATTTGTGACAATAGACATTGGCGAGGGAATTCAGCAGAAGCAATTGCTTTCTAAACAGCTCAAATAACTAAGAAATAGTCACACAGAAGGTAAAGCACTACCATGTGATGGTATAACCACAAGCATTGAAAAAATTACTTTCCATATATTTCAGACAAAAATTACTGAATTCAACCAGATTTTGGCATCTTCTATGACTTTGCAAGTATCACTCTTTGCCAAAGAAAGAGCCAAAAGATTCAAAGAGAAATGCAAGCTAAAAGTAAATCCAGTCCACAAAAACAATGAACTGGGTATGATTTTGTACAGAAGGCGCAGCATGACAATAATAAGACGACAGAGCACCTAAAACAACACCTTGAAATAATTCTCTACAAAATTAGGATCCTCTACAGTTGAATGGCCCTTATTAGGATGTTTCATGACTCCAGAAGTTGGTAAACTCCACGTTCTTGTTCTGTCTAAGGGGTGATTGCCAGCTGAAGCGTTAGGTTCACTGAGACTGTCTTTAAGTTCTTCCCTGAATATTCCCATTTCTTCTTTATCCATGTCAATTGATTCGGTCCTACAACTTCCCGGACATTCTCCGGTGCAATTAATTGATTTTGTAATCACCGAAACATCTGCATTCTCCTTGCCTAACTCTTCACTGAGTAAACTTCCGTATTCTGTTGATTGACCCACTTCAGATGAACTAATGTCCTTCAAAGTTGGACCTTTTGAAGATGAATCCCCAATATCATGCAACTGACAAACAGCGTTGGTCAAAAAATCATTAGACAGCTTGTCATCTTTAGTAGCAAAGAATGATGACAACTTTGGCTGATTATCTGCAAGCTGGTCAAGCTGGTAAGGAAGCCCTGCAGCATAAGCAGAAAGATCAATTATGAGTAATGTTGATCTATACTCAAGTCTAGAGAATGAAAATTATGACACAATAAGAGTTTTTAATAAGATCTTTACGAGAAAGCTGCTAACTGGGTAACAGATAAAAAAGTGAAAAGAGTGATCTTAGCTGAACCCACATATGAGCTCTCCTACTCAACTCTGGCGGTTCCTAGATCCCCGCGATTAATGCAACAACGTACAGGCCATGCACCGCAACTAAGAGAATTGCAAATAAAGACAACTCAATGCTGCTGGTCAAACACTTACAACTTAACAGTTTGTTAGCTGCAACAGAATCCGCTATCCACTTTGGTTTCACAACTGGAAGTCCACCACTAAAGGACCTGATTTGCAACCGAATACAACTGTTATATGGGTAAAAATTCTCTCTACCATACTGCATACGAAGAGACTAAGAAATGGAGGAGCCACCTCAAATTCTTTATTTTACTGTCAGGAAGGTTACTGCAAATGATATGTGTAACATGATGCCTGGAGAAGTAGTTCTCAAATCTTCCACCATACTTCAACATATAGCCTCGCAATTCCTAATAGAAAGCTCCACATAAATGACAATACCAACATCTGAATAGTCGACTCATAAAATATTACTTCAAATGTTAACTGAGAAGAGAGAAGATTCCTCAATATGGCGACCAACTGCTGATATATATCCACCTTTTAATCAAGTTTTAATTCTAGATTTCTATGAGCCTGAAAAAAGAAGCTCCATGAAATAGAAAAGATGATAATGAAGTTCAGATATCAGACCTGACTGGAAGGAACAGTGAAACCATCCACGAAAATAGAAACTCCATGAAATATAGCTTTCAAAGAACTCGAATCGCTGTGAGAAGAAGTTGAAGCTTCTGCACGGAACTGCTCCTGAAGTTTCCTATTCTTCTCGACCATGTAACTACACACATATTTTCAGAAACCTCGATATAAAGGGTCTTAATTTTAATGCTCACAAACTTATTCTGGTCAAATGAAAATAATTATACACAAGGCGGCAAACATTTAAAAAAATGTCAAGAGTCTACGGAAAAAAGGCAATTATAGCATACATTGACCATAAAAAAAAAAAGTTTCCACAAGTGGCTTAATTCATCAGTGATTTGATGGTTAGTGAAAGAGTGGAAAAGTTAAAACCCTTTAAATTAAAGGTGGATTGGACCACTCATGTGAAGTCCTCATTACATTAGTGGTATATACTCCAATTTTTGAAAAAAAAAAATAGATGGGGAGAACAAAAATCTTGTTCAGTTCTTCTCTTCAAGGTACAAAACCAGGTGTCATGCCCTGATTTAGCACAGAACACTACTTACTGTGGAACCAGATAAAATTGGACATTCATTTGAAACTCTACTGATTACCATTTATGCTTCGACTATCTTTTCTATGTTTTTTCACTTTATGGTTTAAAGATCATAGCCTGCTCCAACGATCTTATTACTTCCATATAGCTATTCAAGAAAATCGACCCAGCATTCTCTGAGATCCTTTAGTGTTCGAAATGTTGTGACGAAAGACCAAGAATGTTAAAATTACCCGAGCAATGCACCTTAAATGTTCAGAAACCCTAAATTCTAGAACTAGCAGACACTCGTCTGTTTATCTGAGATGTTGCAACGCCACTACGTCTAACGTAATCAACATACTCCGGCCCCTTCGAAAATTCGGCGAGTATGTGAATGAATGGCAATTCCCCGGGACAAAGATGCATGATCATGACATGAGGGGCGCCCGACACAACATCAACGAAGCACACGCCGCGACAACGAAACCTTGTCCATTTTCAGAATGCTTTTTGGCGAGACTGACCTGCCGAAATTGGAGAAAGGAGAACTGCGGAAGGAGGATCGCGAGGAGGAGAGAGAATTGGCGCCCCAGGCCATGCCTAAAGTTTTCTGCTTGCTGCTCTTCTCCTCCTCCTTCTTCGTCGTCGTCCTCGTCGCCCTCTTGTTGCTCCCTCGGCCACGGCCACTGCCACTGCCACTGCCGTCGCTGCGGCTCCGAGGGTTCGCCGAACCGGCGGAACTGTCGCGGCCTCGCTTCGACCCGTCGCCGGAATTCGCAGGCCGGGTCGTGTTGGAGCTCATCGTCTTCTTCAGGTATTCGGGAAGATTGCCGAGACAGCTTCGAGAGAATTTCAGCTCCGCGACGTGATTTCAAATGAAGCGGCAAATGGCGGGTGTCGTTTATTTATAGGGCAAAGTATCCCGTACAGAAGATGGTCGACTGACGATGGTGGCTTCTTTGTTCTTCGTTAACGGGCGGGCCAGAGAGCTTCTCGGCATTGTCGTGCGGGAAATGATACAGTTACTAAATTTTGGCTTTATATATAATATTATTCATGAATATTTAATTTATTTTTAAATTATAATATTTGCCCAAGTTTATATGGGCCAAATGTGGGCTGAATATAGGTTTTAAACCCATATTCAGCCCATATTTGATCAATTTAAGTTATTAACTTATAATTTATTTTTTTTAAATCAAATTTTAAATTATTTTCTTTTTCGTTTTTTCCTTTTTTTAAGAAGAAGGAAAAAGAAAAAGAAAAAAAATAATTAAAATTTTTCATTTAAAAAATAAAAAAAGAAAAAGAAAATAAAGATATATAAAAATATAAAAATCTTATTTTTTTTAATTATAAAAATTATTCACTTATTTTATATTGCATTGAAGCATTTTAGCAATGTAAATATTGGGTTAATTTTAAAAAAAAAGCACAAACTTTAGGTCGAGGGACAATTTTAACCTCAACTTTTTTTTGTCTCGTAAAAAAGCACTAACTTTAGGTCGAGAGACAGTTATGGCCCGAACTTTTTTTTGCCCTATAAAAAAACACCAACTTTAGGTCGAGTGATAATTCTAGCCCCAACTATTTTTTGTCTCATAAAAAATCACAAACTTTCACCTTAATCCCAAATCTGGCCCCTCATTGACTTTTCTGTATGACGTCACCCTTGTTTGAGAAAAAAGATTATGGTGGTGAGCCTAGTGAATCTCATCCATGACTTCTGTCAACGGACAGTGGTCTACAATTTCAGTTTATGACAAAACGACGAAGTCTGGCCAAAGAAATTCAATCTGGAGATATTTCTGACTTGTCGGTGAAGTGAAGAAGACGAACAGTTTCACCGTTATTCTTCACGCTGTGGCTCAGAGAATAAGACAATGAATGGTGTTTTAAATCTAGTCAGCAAGTCACGTGGATTTATTGCTAAGGTGGAATAATCAAGTTGGATAATCAATGGTTTTAAGTCAATGGGGGCCAGATTTGAGATTTAAGTGAAAGTTGGTATTTTTTTACAAGCAAAAAAAAGTTTGGGTAAGAATTGTCACTCGACCTAAAGTTTGTGTTTTTTTAGGAGACAAAAAAAAGTTCGTACTAGAATTGTCCCTCGACCTAAAGTTAGTGCTTTTTTATGGGACAAAAAAAAGTTATGGCCAGGATTGTCCCTCGATCTAAAATTGGTGCTTTTTTTTAGAATTAACCCTGTAAATATTATAAGAAACAAGTTTTTTAAAATTGGATTTTAAAGTGTTTTAGAATACGGATCAAGTTGGGTATAGGTCAGATATGGGTTGGGTCGAGTATGTGTCATTACATTTATACTACATGAATATGGATCAAAACAGGTTAATATGGGTCGATCATTTTCGATCCGACCCGATCCACCCGTTTGATATCCCTAGTCTCCAAATGTTCGTCGTAATCCTCAAAGACTAAATTGAACATATACTCCGACAAAAAAAAATTGAACATATATCAAAAGTTTAAAGACGATATCGAACAAATTAAAAGTTCATGAATCATATTACACATTAAATTAAAGTTAAGAAATTATATTGAATAAATTAAAAATTTAAAAATAATATTGCGCGATCGACCGAAATTCGGGATTGTCCGTGTCATTTTTCAACTGGGGAAGAGAACGAACGAGCGCCCTGCAACTCGGCGGCGACCGCTGTTCGGGGAAGAGGGAAGGCGATGGAGAAAGCGCTGAGAGTGTACGGCGAAGTGCTGAGGCTCGTGCGGCGGTTACCCGAGGACACGCGGCCTTACTACGCCAAGTACGCCCGCGAGAACTTCGTCAACTACCGAGAAGTCGACGCCGGCGACCCCAAGGCCCTGGACGAGCTCTTCCGCCGAGCTTACGACCACTCGATCTGGGTCCTCAACAAGGCATGAAATGCGCGCTCTCCCTTTCACTTTATGCCGTGGATTTACGCTGTTTGTTGATTCTGTTGGGTCGCTTGATTTAGGGTTCCGCTCGTCTTGTCATCCTTATTCTTTGTCCCTTCTGCGTGCAGTACTCGGTGGAGGAATCTGCTGCGCATAGGCTCAGGGAGATCTGCTTCGGTTGATGAATCAAGTACGTTCATTTGCTAACCAGTCCGTGTTATTGTGCGAGTTGATCGATGCTCGCGAACGCGGCGATTGGAGAGCTCATGTAGTGTTTTGCGGTCGATAGAGCCGAGGTGATGTTTGGATTTGAAAAGCCGTGGTTATCATGCCTCGGTGGATGCAAATTTTGATACTTTGCGATAAAGTTTTGTCAGGTCTGTCGAGAGCTAGCTAGATAATGAATTGTTAACAATGTCAAGGATAAGAAATAAAGAATGCTGTTGTTAAAGGGGAAAAAAGCAGTGTCAATCGCCATACCGGCTTCCATAACTGCCTTATATGACAACTTATTCTCTGGCTGCATTTGTTTCGTATTGTTCTCTGCTACTGTAATGTCTCTTTATCTTGATGGTTGTTCTCTGCCTCGTGATCTTTTGCGCGATTGAGCACGTGCGACTTACGGGCCAAGCGGCAAGGTAAACAAATCCCTGTGTTCTGCTCAGTAGGTTTTAGATTGATGTATGCACAATTATGGGGTCTCTCGTGTTGCTTTGCCTTTCTCTTTCTTTGCCATTGTGAGCTCTGGATGTTTGCTAGAGTGGAGGGAGGAGTGGCCAAGATAACCATGGCACTCCTAAAGCATTCGTGGCTGTCTATTGTCTGTGGTTATACTACTCTTTACAAGGATCTTTTGGAATGCTAAGTGAAACGGGGAACTGTGTGATGAGTAGTTTCGATTTGGACATGGCAGACATCAGTAATCAGCGGTACTTGTGTTGCCTTGTTCTTTAGAGGCTAGGAACTATGGAACTTATTGGATGATGCATATCGTGCTTCTTCTTTTTTCAGCTAGTAGGCATTTGCCATTTACAGATGAAGAGCAAGAGGGCTAGAAATGTGATATGTGAGAATCTGTTCTCTCTGTCTTTGAGTTGTGATTGATCCTGTTAACTAATTTCTGGACTTAAGGCAATAGTTCCGTTGGCTTCTTCTCTCCTACAACACGCATGGGGTTTGCTTTGTATCGTGAAATTCATAGGACCATGCTTCTCTTTGGGGTAGATGTAGGACCACGGTTCTAGAGTTGTTACTCTGCGACAAGGTTCTTTGGAATCTAAATGACAATTGAAAATGTGGCAGTCATGTTGTGTGAAATGCTCGGTGCGATTATATTAGTACCGAGTCTCTTACCAAACTGGGGGACTGTAGTATCCCCATCTGTCAAGCGAATATTACATGCTTCAGGATCATCGCTCCTGAATCCTAGGGCATTTTAATAATTTGAAATGGGGAATGAGACAGTTTTATGCATGATGGTTTTATGCGTCGGATGGCTGAGATGAATTAGGAACAATACTACTGGTGAGAAACTGAGTATGGAGACTCATGTGTGTCATTATAACCTTTTGGATGCTAATAATTATGAGGCTCCTTAGGCCAGTTCTTCTGAAGCTCGAGGTGAGGTATTCAGTTATTTAGATTTCTAACAGATAAAATACCTGCAGATACCCCTTTCGTAGATGCGAAAGTACTTCCTTGAGAGAGCTCACTTTTTTTTTCCGCTTGCGAAAAATGAAATTAGCCTGTTCGATGTTCATCGACTGCTCCAAGGATACTTTTAAAAATAGATAGAAGCATAGTGAGTAGTCAAAACGCTTGGAGCCTCCCAAATAAGCCAGCTGAAGTAGATACATGGGCTGGCTTACTAGCAACCTCTTGGTTGTGGTGAATGATAGCATCCAGATCATCGTAAACTAATGATAGCAACTTGGTTTATGTTCAGTTGATGCAATAAACTAACAGGGGAAGGCTCTGGGTTGTTCTGATGTCGAACATAGGAGGGAAGGACGGACGGACACGCTGAACCAGGAGTGTCACCAACATCTCAACGAGGAGTCGGAAGGCGCAACGTGCGATGAAACAAATGTCGGGAACCCAATTCTCCTCTCTCTCTCTCTCTCTCTGCGTCACCCCGATCCCCCAAGGATCAAGCTTTGATTTTTATTGTCAGGAGAACAAAAGCAGGGGCCCGAACTGATATCCTGGGCAGCAGGCTGTGGACCCCGGCCCATGAAAGGGCCGATTTCATCGGTTGAAGAAGAAGACAGTACAGTACCCGCTACTCGAGAACCTGTCCTCTGCTCGTGAGTGAGAAACTTCTGTCCCTAGAACTTTTACTTTCGGTCGAAATTGCCCCCCACAGTTTGGAAAGTACAAACGAAAGACAAAAAGGGTCCTTCACAAACGCTAGTCTCAATCTATTTCCATGATCAAAGTCCGACCCAGTCCAGGCCAAGCAAAGCAATAATTCATGTTGTGTCAGCGCAGTCAGGTTTGAAGTAGAGAAGTACAGCGACTGGTCAGTGAACAGCGTTTCAATTTTTCTCGTCCTGGTTCAGGAGAGAGAGGACTGATGAGCTGCGACAGAGAGAGAGAGACTGCGTTGGAGGGTGCAAAATGTTGTAAAACACAGTGTACTCCGGTTTTCTCGGGCCGGGCGGTGGTGGTTTGACTGAACTGAGCTCGCTCGCTAAATCCAATCTCAAGCCAGATTACCGAAGCAAAACCCCCCTCCCTCCCTCCCTCCCTCCTCCTCGGAAAACCCATCGTTGCCCTTCCGTTTTCCGATTTCACCACGTACCGTCTTTAACCATTGACACCTATGTTTTTCACTTTCGCTCGCTCGGAAAGAATTTAGAATTAAAAGGAGTCCAAGGACGAAGAAGAAGAAGAAGAAGAAGCTTCCGTTGTTTTCTCCCACGTCCCCTCCCTCTCTCTCTGTCTCTGTTTCTCTCTCTCCCCCGTGAGTGAGCCCACGAGGGAAAAAAAATCAATTTTTGAACAGTGAAGGGGTCTTAATGATGGCGGAGGAAGTGGATTTTGCAGAGGACAACGTTAATGAGAGCGGAAGCTTCTGTCAGTTGCTGCTGGCGAATGAGGTGGAGGTTGTTGAGCCCGCCATGGAGAACCAGAGCTTCATCTTCCCAAAGGACAAGAAGTCTCCTCAGATGCTCTGTTTCGGGAGAGACGAAGCTGAACAGCAAGGCCCAGCTCTGCTTTTCCATCAGAACCAACAAGCCACGGTCGCATGCACTCCTCCTCCTCCTTCCTGCGCGAAAAGCACAAGCTTCAGCGCACTTCCCAAACCAAGTGTAAGCAAGTTTGCATTCCTCAAACAAGACATCATCGTGCATATTGAGTTCATCTTGTGCTCTACTCAAATGTTCTGCCTTTTCATGTGTGGGGATTCTTTGAACAAGCAGAAGAAGAGAGGAGGGTCTTGTCAAGAATCGTTAGTAACTTCCACGGATGATGTCCAAATCCGAAAAACTAGTAAAAAGAGCAAAATTCAGAGCCCTTCTTCAAATGCTCTTCCAAAGGTCAGATTAACATAAGCAGCATTTGCATGTACCAAATTAATGAAGTTCTCTTTCTTTTCTCTTTGGGGAATCAATAAAGGCTCTGTTTCGAACAACAGGGGAGGAGAGAGAAGCTTGGGGAGCGAATCCTGACGCTGCAGCAGCTGGTTTCACCCTTCGGAAAGGTGAAACTTTTTAAATTTTTCTTGAATATCTAATGACGCAATTAATCCTCACACGAGCAGATAAAAACCAAAAGATACAAAATATGGGAAATTGAACAGTGATTCATTATTATCGTTTTGTTTCGTGGGGAACTGGAAAATGTGCAGACAGATACGGCGTCAGTGCTGCACGAAGCGATGGGATATATCAAGTTCCTGCATGAGCAGGTTCAGGTCCTGTGCTCTCCTTACCTCCACCAGCCTCCCACACCAACCCACCTCTCTGTAAGTTTCTGATTTCTCTCTCTGCTTCTGTTTGCGTGTCCTATCCTAAATTCAGATATAAATACAACATCTATATCACTCGCAAGCAATCTTTCGGGAGAAAAAAGAGCCATTATAACCGGGTAGGAGAAATTTATGTTCGGTTTCGCATGTGACTTGGATCTCTATTACAAATTTATGGGACTAAACTTTGTTTAAGGCTCAATTTTTGTAAGAGCATTAGACTGCATGTTTGACAGTTTGACTTGAGAGTTGTACCACCCGTGCTAGGTATGCCCAGAACCTGTAGACCAGCGACCTGGTCACAGGCCGCGTGGGTCAATGATGGCCTGGGCCCATTCACAGTCTGCCTTTGAACAACAATAGGTCACACAGATCACCTTTCTTATGAGAAAATTAACAGGGGTGCAACATTCCTTGTGGAAAAAGGAACAAAATTTCAATTGGGAGTTGCCAGTTTGGCTCACCATTTCGCTGTAGCAAAATTATATAGCTCGTTCAACCAAATTAAGGCCGGTTGAACTGAGAATGGCGAGGGTTTGGGGGACATAACAATTTATAGTGTATCGTGTTTTAACAATATGATGAGTAATCGAAGCTGCATACGGTTTGATTGTATTGATATCGCATCTCCAATGGATGAAAATGGTTCCAATGTCTCAAAGGTTGTGCTTCAACTAAATTTTTCTTTTTCTCACCATGAAATTTATTAGAAGGTTGGAGAAAACGGTGGACCAGAAGGATCAAGAAGGGACCTGAGGAGCAGAGGACTGTGCTTAGTTCCCATGGCATGCACCTATCACTTGCAAAGCAGCAATAATGGAGCTGATCTTTGGTCACCTTCAATGGCCACCAGCTTTTCTTCTTCTTCCACCAAAGAGTAAAAGAGAGAATTGGCCAGCTTCAATTTCCAAGTTTTAGGGCAAAGCTAGGGTACTTTTGAAGAGGAGTGATGGGACTCTGCTTGCCTTGACATTTTGAAGGAAAGAGGCCAAGGAAAGACGTGACAAAACTTAGCATAAAAAGGTAGGTAAAGAGAGAAACAGTCCAAGTGCAAAAGATAGTACATTTTCCACTTCTTGGGGGTGAAGAAAGGAACAGTACTAATGAAATGATAGGGCGTGGAAGTGGGAAAAGAAGAAAAAAGAAGTGGAAGGAAAAATTAGGGTGTTTTTTGTTGTTTTGTGATTGTGAAGAACAGAGTCACGAGCAGCTGTCTTTTTGCTCAGCTGCTTTGGCTTGGGTATAGTCTTGTGCCTTGGCTGATATTGACTGTGTAATTACATGTGTAACTTTTCATTTTTCATACAAGTCCATTGGTTTATGAAAGGGACGATCGGTTCCAAGTAGGTAAGTTCTAGTGTTAGAATCGGTTCCTAGTTTTTAGAAATTTGAACCTAACATATTTACCTCGGAACCGACTGAAAATTTTGGAACCAGACTTGTTTCCGAATTTTCAATAATAGAAATCGGACCTGTTTTTATTGGAACCCGAGAACTGAATCTGTTTCCATGGTTGGTTCAGTCCGGTTCTTGGGTAGAAAAAACCGGTTGCACAGTCTTCGTTTATGATATGTCTGAGATTGCAAATATCAAGGGATGCACACCCTTTTGCATCCCCCTTTCGTTTGAAAAGCTCATCCTGAGGTCTGTAGTATAGAAAAGCCCACGGGCCTGAAAGACGGGGTTCTTTGTTCTACCTCGAGTAAAGCGAGAGGGCATGGAAGTGAAACTAGAAGTAAAACTGAGTGTTTTGGTTGCTTTCTGAAGAATAGAATCGAGTAGCTGTTTGGCATAGGCCTGTTGACTAATATGAACGGTGTAATGACAAGTTTAATGACCTTACGATGGTCCTTCTATGTATGAATTACTATCCTCTCTTCAGTTAACTGTAGTATGTAACCATGTAGGATATTATCATCTATCTTTTGCTTAATACTTTTAGATTATAAAATCCAAGCTTCAGAACTTGTGAATGATGTACATTCACGAATTTGACATTAAAACTAACAATTTGACCCCATTAAGGGCCTGGTGCCTACTTGAGCTCACAAGGCTTGAAGCGCGAAATTGCGAACGATCTGCCCATATAAGCCAGCTTCGGCTTCTTCATCACTTTTTGAACAGACGTTCTTTTTATAAAGTTAAGGTGTGTTTGACATAATTTGACATCTGATTAAGTCCTCATCGGATGTGGTAGACTCCTTGTCCATTACATATAAAGCAATTAGCGGACCGCATAGGCCCATGGTTTCCATATTATCTCAAGAGAATGCGCAAACATGGTGAAATTCCTATTTTATCGTCTCATCAAATTTTCTGCAATGGGTTAGATTGGCAGCACACTGTTCACTTGGAAAAGCCCATGCTAGTGAAGCCAGCAACCCAAGAAAGCCCCATGGGGTCTGGAATATGGGCTTCTGGTCCTCTTCTGTTGCAACCGACATGCCTGGAAAAATGAGCAGACAGAGCCCGACATTTCGAATCAAAGATATGGCCCGACATAACTGTCCGTACAATGAAATCACGTTGCCTGTTCTACCACCATGCAACTCCAAACACCCCCACATCGAAGAATGAGCTTGACGGATCCGGGCAAGAGAAAAAAGGTTCGCGTCTTTGCACCGCCCGCAGCCGCGCTAACGTAGGCGAGGAAGACGAACGGGTTGATTAGCGGAAAATCTTTCTCGAGGTTCCCGTGATCGCCCATTTCCAGAAATGTTACGCAGAGTTTAAGGAAACCCGAAGCGGGACATGCTCGTGCTTGCCTTGTGGGTCCATTCTTCTACCCACGGGACAACTGTGCAATAATGCCGCGTGAATTCATATCCCTTGCTCTGCTCTGTCGACCCCACTCTATCCCTGCCCACCGCCCTTTTCACTCACTCACCTAACAGCTCTTCCTGTCCCTTTCCGCCTGCGCATTTTCGCGGGTTCAAGACTCAGAAAGTTGTCATTTTTGTCATCTCTCTCGCTGGTTCAGCTCCTGGGTGTTTCTCTTTCTTCTTGTTTGGTTCTTTGTCAGTAATGGCGATGGAAGATGAGGGGTGGGTTCTGGTTTCGAAGCCGAAGGAGAAAGATCACTGGAGCCCGAGTGGGTTCTCGGTGGGTTCGGATGCAGAGGATTCCGGGCCCTTGAAGATAACCTCGGGCGAGCCCGCGACGCACTGGACCGATGCTTTTCCTATCGGGAATGGACGGCTCGGAGCCATGATCTGGGGCGGCGTCGCCTCGGAGACTCTCCAGCTCAATGGTACTCTTTCGCAGTTCTTGCACTTGAATGCAGAGACTTGAAGTTCTTGCTTGCTTGGTCGCCTGACGGTGAAAGATAGGGAATGGCGATAATTGAATGCTGAAAATGTAGGAGAGGAAAATCTTGGATCTCTGGGCTTTTTAAGATTGTGGATTTGTTAGTTGGTTGCTGGACTAGAAGAATTATTCTTGGAGGTTTTAGAGTTGGGAAGCTGAAGTTTTGATCAGTTAGTGGGTGGTTGTTTCACAATATCCTGAGTTCCCATTAAACAACATTATAATTTGGTAGTGTGGTTATCCCGCACTGATGATCATAATTTAGGGGACAATATTGCTTGTGGAGGCGCATTTGCGGATTATTGTGTTGTTACTATGCAGAATTCACAGGCCACAGCCGATGTGGACCGAGCTCGTTGCCGTAGTGCCTGGGTTCACAACTTCCTTGGTTCTATTTATGGCGGACTCGGGTGGGGGTGTATTTTGATAAAAGTCATGATGAAGTTGCAGTCAGTTGTTTCTGAAACCTCTGCTGCAATGTTTACCGCACTTTAAGTGCTTTGTCATTGATGTTTAATTTGCTTGACTCTGTTTTTCTATCGTTGATCTTTAATAGGCATGCCATCCTGTAGTTTTACAAGTAACGGGCTTTTATTGCCGAGATGTGTCAAGGAAGATGAATAAACATTGATAGTAGGAACTTAAGTATTGAGAATAACATCCGGGCATTGATGTTGCTTTGCTCAACGCTGTATGAAATTAATGACCATTAAGATCTCTAGGCCTGACCCTAGTTTAAAGTAACAAGATGTTGTTGCTGGGATGCATCGAGGAAGATGGAAAAAAAGGATATTTGGATCTTAAGTTTTGAGCATGGTGTTCTTCACCGTCTCCACGACATAATAAACTCAAATTCTCTCTGTGCGTGTGCTCATCATTTCTTCATGCAGAGGACACGCTCTGGACTGGAGTTCCCGGCAACTATGCTGATCCCAATGCTCCTGTGGCACTATCCGAAGTCAGAAAGCTTGTTGATGAGGGCCAATATGCTGAGGCAACTGCAGCAGCAGTGAAGTTGTCAGATCATCCTTCTGATGTACAGATCTTTCTTAATTTAACTGTCCTTTTATGCTTTTGTTGTCTACTGAGTGTGCCGTGATTTGTGCAATAAACATTTCATTTTTACGTCACATTTAAGGTTCGCCCAACCTAGTACAAGGACGATTCCACAAAATGTATCGTTGGTCATGTTGTCTAGTCTGGTCCAACTTCGTTTGTTAAAGGGTTGGAGCTGGCTAATGCCTGAGCCTTAGTCTAGAAATGAAGTTTGTACTTTTTCCTTAGTGAGGCATGCATATACTCACTATATTCTTTTGACGATGCTGTTGAAGGTCTACCAACTTCTCGGGGACATTAAGCTTGACTTTGACGATTCCCATCGTTCATATGCAGAAGAGACATACCACAGAGAGCTAGATCTGGACACTGCTACGGTTACTGTAAAGTATTCGGTCAATGATGTGGAATTCACAAGGGAATATTTTGCTTCTTGTCCTGATCAAGTTGTGGTAATGAAGGTTTCTGCAAACAAGCCAGGATGTGTCTCGTTTACAGTTTCTCTTGATAGCAAGTTACATCATCATACATATGTAGATGGAAAAGATGAAATAGTAATGCAAGGAAATTGCCCTGGTAAAAGGCCTGCTCCAAAAGTGAATGCAAATGATAACCCTGAGGGAATTCAATTTGCTGCAGTTCTTCATCTGCTGATTAGTGATGGCCAGGGGACAATAAGTGTTCTGGACGACAAAAGGTTGGTGGTTAAGGGTTCAGATTGGGCTGTCCTGCTTCTGGTTGCTTCATCTTCATTTAACGATCCATTCACAAAGCCCTCAGATTCTCCCAGAGATCCTACTTCTGAGTCCATTAGATTTATGGAATCAATAAGGAACTTGTCATATTCTGATCTTCTCTTGCGCCATCTAAATGACTACCAGAGTCTTTTCCATCGAGCTTCTTTGCAACTTTCAAAGAGTGCTCAAACTGCCTCGAAGGACAAGTCTCTTGAAATAAACAGAGTCCTGTCTTCCACATCTGTTTCCTCGATCAAGGACAAAAGTGCTACCATTTCTACTGCAGAGAGAGTGAAATCTTTTCAGACAGACGAAGATCCTTCTTTGGTTGAACTTCTGTTTCAATATGGTCGATACTTGCTTATTTCTAGCTCACGGCCAGGAACCCAAGTGACAAACTTGCAGGGTATTTGGAATAAAGATATCGAGCCAGCATGGGAGTATGTCACTTTATTCTGTATTCTGCATCACTTTCATCATCGACATTGTCGTCGTTGTCATCGTTATCATCTCACTCTATTTTGCCAATTACTTCTGCTTCATGTATATAAAAGCTTTATTATGCTGATATATGTATTAGTAACTATACTTCTATCCTTTCACTCAGTGCTGCTCCTCACTTGAACATTAATCTCCAAATGAACTATTGGCCTTCACTTTCTTGCAATCTCGAGGAATGTCAGGAGCCCTTATTTGATTTCATTTCTTCACTATCGGTCAATGGAAGTAAAACAGCTAAGGTAAGGAGGAAGTCTTTGTTTTTATTTTGCTTTTCTCACTTCTGGCATGCATATTCTGCAATTACTTACAAAGTGCCACAGAACCTGTCATGTTAAGAGGTCAACACTGGAAGAAAAGCCTCATTATCATTTTTATGTGATACCTTGCTGATGTGACTAAGGGATCTGTTTGACTGTATTTTGCCAAGGTTGACTAGTATTCTATTCTATTGCTGCATGGCAGCACAGTATATGTGGCTTTTGACCATGTTGTTGGCAATCTAGTGTACCTTCCTAAATGAGGAAGTGGGAGGAAGACACATTGAACTCAGAAGTCATTGCACCTATTTATATCGTGATAACAGAATTTTCTAGTTGATGGTTTCCCTGTAGTTGAAATCTTGATAAATAATTATATGTTACTAGTAGAGTCTGCTTGAGCCTCTATGGCCTCCAATTGTTTAATCATTCTAATCAATGTTATGAACATTTTCTTTCGGGTAATCTGGTCTATGCTTATTGGATGATTGAGGTTAATTACGAGGCAAGTGGTTGGGTTGCACATCAAGTGTCTGACATATGGGCAAAAACATCACCCGATCGAGGTGAAGCAGTTTGGGCTCTATGGCCTATGGGTGGAGCATGGCTTTGTACACATTTGTGGGAGCATTACGCCTATACCATGGACAAAGTAAGGGTCTCATCTTCAAATATAAGGTTTGAGGAAGTTGTTGGCATGGGCTGTTCATTTGTGGGATTTGAATGTGTGAGAGGCTTATGATTATGAAGGTTTTTCACACTCCTTGATATTGCTTGTCTGTCTGTACTAAATGTTTGAGAGTTGCGACGGTTGCAACACACATATGCATGCTCATCTCAATCTCTAGTAATTAAAGAGTTGCTAATACTTACTGCAACATTAGGATTTTCTGAAAAATAAGGCATACCCTTTGTTGGAAGGATGTACATCATTTCTGTTGGACTGGTTGATTGAAGGTCGGGGGGGTTTCTTGGAAACCAACCCCTCAACTTCTCCAGAGCACATGTTTACTGCTCCAGATGGCAAACCTGCTAGCGTGAGCTACTCAACAACTATGGACATGGCCATCATTAAAGAAGTGTTTCCGGCAATTGTTGCTGCTGCCAAGGTGACTCTGTTATGCTATAGCCAGACACTGCTGATTTGTTATCTTTATGTGTTCTCTAGTCATATCCTTGTTAATCTTTATGCACAGATATTGGGAAAGAATGACGATGCCCTAATTCTGAAAGTCCAAGAGGCTCAAAAAGGGCTTCCACCAACAAAAATTGCAAGAGATGGTTCCATCATGGAATGGGTATGTAAAGTTCTATGACGTCAGTTCTTTAGTACATACCATATCTTTTTCACATACTGTAGTGTAGGCATGCTGGAGCCTTATCTCTGTGGCCTGAGGATTTTTCTGTAATTTGGTAGGCGGAGGATTTTGAAGATCCTGATGTCCATCACAGACACGTGTCGCATCTTTTCGGTCTATTTCCAGGACACACGATAAGTGTTGAGGAAACTCCAGACCTTTGCAGAGCCGCAGATTATACCCTCTATAAAAGAGGTTTGATAGTATGACCTATTTGCTTGATGTGTTTTCGTCTATTTATGAGAAAATGGTACGTTAGAGAAGGGTCTTTCAGACATAAATTGAAGAAGTAGGTCCAATCAATATGCAAAAATTGTGTACGAATTTTCATACGGTCTGAATAATTGTACTTGAGTGTGAAGCAGTGGCGTCACTTCATATTTTGAAATATAATACAGGGGAGGAGGGCCCGGGATGGTCAACTACGTGGAAAATTGCTCTCTGGGCACGTCTCCATAATAGTGAGCATGCATATAGGATGGTGAAGCACTTGTTCAACTTGGTTGATCCAGATCATGAAGGCAGCTTTGAAGGAGGACTATATAGCAATTTGTTCACAGCACACCCTCCATTTCAAATTGATGCAAATTTTGGGTAAGCATGTATGCTTCTATAGGTCCAACTGCACACGATAAATTCATTTTGACGTGTTAAGAGCTTAGGGTTCTCTGGATGTGCAACTTGTTTGAATTTGTGATGCTAGATTCGAGAAAAATGTAGAATGTCGACAAAGATATTGACATTCTCGGACATTTAGTATTATCTAGTATTGCTCCTCGAGACAATTTTGCTGTACTAACTCTTTCTACTTCATCAGCTTTTCCGCTGCAGTTGCAGAGATGCTTGTCCAGAGCACCATGAAGGACCTGTACTTGCTTCCCGCTCTTCCCCGGGATAAGTGGCCCAACGGTTGTGTGAAAGGATTGAAGGCGAGAGGTAGAGTTACGGTCAACATATGCTGGAAAGAAGAAGAGATGCACGAAGTAGGTCTTTGGTCAGAAGATTACAATGCTTTTAGGCAATTACACTATAGAGGAGCTACCGTCAAGGCAAAGTTATCGCCGGGCAAAGTCTACACATTCAACAAGCTACTAAAATGCACGAGGATGAACTCTCTATAAGGAACTGACCCTTTTCAGTGGAAGAGAGCATCAAAATTCATCTCCGGATCAGTGTAAAAGCAGCTCGAGTTGTAGAATTTCTTTGTTGATTGCGGTCCATCTCTTTTCCTTCGTGGCAGTTTTGAGCTTCCACTACAGTAGACTCTGCCTTGGCATGTCAGTACCATTCTTTTAGTGTACCAAATGAGGAACAAAAATCCCAGATAAAATGGGCATTGTCGGATCATCATCGTGCAAAATTTAGCTCTAGACCTTGTGTGCCGGTATGACACTGCTGAGAATGGACAGATGCAATCCAGGCGACGTCCCAGCGAAGGCGACGTCCCAGCGAACTGCCGGTTATCATTCCGAGTACCGGAGTGGTGGCTTCTTCTTTGTCTCTGCATCGACCGTTGCGCTGGAAAATATTCCAGGCCAATTAACTACGGATAAGTAATTGAAAGTCATTTCATGACAATTTTTTATTGATAAGCATTCAGTTCAGGGAATGAGGGAAAATGATGTAAATGATCTTCAAACTTTAACCTAATAACCTAATGAGTAATTGAGTTCTTAAATTTTTAATTTATTTAATGTGATTCACAAACTTTTGATACATGTTCGATTTATTCTCTGAACTATATAGAAATGTTGAATATTATTTCTGAACTTAAATTAATAAAATAATAATATTTGATATTTTCATTTAATCTCGACACTTTCCATATCCATTGGATCGGATTCGTCCAAATGGGTGCTCCGACAAACGGTCATCGTCCTCCTCTGGCGAGACTTTTGTCCGATCGCGTCTTGTCTGGTCAATCATTGCATGAAGCTTCTTCAGGACGATGAAGTGCTCCTTCTCGTCCGAAGGCGCAAGAGAAGTTTCACGTGCTTCGTATCCGACGGTCGCCTCGTCGACACTCCTCGACTAGCGCTCGCTCTTCTGCGACCGGAGGGCCGAGCAAGAAAGGCCCGATCTTGATGGAGCGGACGGACGAGCCTGAGCCATTGAAGGTCACTTTCGGTGGGCCGGCCAAGGACTTCACCGACGCTGCTCCGATCGGCAATGGCAGGCTCGGAGCCATGGTGTGGGGTGGCGTGGCCTCGGAGCTTCTCCAGCTCAACGGTGAACCACCCGTCTCTCCTTTCCCTCTGCAATTCTTCTCGCGCGAACTGGGTTGTAGAGGCTCTGAGAAAGTTTTTCTCTTTTGGTACGGGTGAAGCTATCGGCCTTCTTGTTCCCGTAGAAATGAACTTTATATGCCGATTACCAATTTTAGAAGGGTCGCGTAATGCCGAGGGAACAAGAAAGCTTCGATTTTTACCTCATTTAAAATTGCAACTTTTTGGTGTTTGATTGCTTTGCAAGTACTTCGGGACACCCTTTAGGAAATCCTAGACAGTCCTATCTCAGCAAGACAGTTCACTGAGAAATTTTTTTTCTTTTTCTGGTAAGGCCTGATGTTCGGCAGGTACTCAGTACAGTCATCGTTGAGGCTTGGAGGAGAGGTTCATTAGTGCTTTCTTGTCAAACTCACGGGAATTTGCGACTTCTGAGATTGGCATTCTTTACTTGGTTTGTCAATTCTTGGGTTGATTGAGTCTGGCGTTGTCCCCGTAGTCTATACCGATTGTGAAGCTAATTGTCCTAATGTACAGATTGTAAGTGTCTCGTGATGTAGAAACAAAGACTGGAGTCTGATTGATTGGTCAGCTCATGCGCCTGCTAAAGTTTGATACACGCGTACATCATGCTGATTGAATGTTGACTTTTGTGTAGAGGATACTCTCTGGACTGGGACACCGGGGAATTACACTGATCCTAAAGTACCAGCAGCGTTAGCAGATGTTAGGAAGCTTGTGGATGATGGTGAATATGCTGATGCTACTTCAGCAGCAGTCAATTTGCTAGGAAATCTTTCTGAAGTACTCTCTATCTACTTTAATGATGATCTTTATTTTCATGTTGCTCCAATGTTGTGCTTGTACCACCATTAATTTTCCTGATTTATGGTGTCTGTGAGCTTAGTTAGGTATTTGTGATGTCACGTGATAGGATACACTTCTATCAGAATTTAGACTTAGCAAGTTCACGTATTCATGAATTTATCTTACCTAAGTTACTCTCATAGTTGTTTTTCCATGAATTAAGAGTGCGATCAACATCACTGGTTGATTGTGGCCCCTTGACATGATTTTGCAAGAAAAACGCATAATGATGAGTCTCCTCTGTTGTATTATTGATCAAAGTTGAATTTCATCCCTTTATACTCAACCAAACTATGCATGCTGCAATCAGCATTGAGTTAAGACAATGTGGCCCTTCCATGGCCTGTGGATCAAAAGGAAATGTAGCTGCAGCTACATATCAGGTTCTGAAATATGTTACCGATTGCATATTAGCGAGTTCTTTATACTGATCTTCTGGCATTTGTCTCTGTCTGCAGGCTAATTGTTATACCTTTACTTTTTTTTCTCCATACAAGATCATATTAATGTTTTTTACTCATTACATATTTTCAACGATCCCCCTCTAACCTTTTCAATGTTGATGTAGGCTTACCAACTTCTTGGGGACCTCAAGCTTGATTTTGATGATCTCCATCTTACATACGCTGAACAAACATATAGCAGGGAACTAGATTTGGATACTGCTACTGTGAGAGTTGGATATTCTGTAGGTGACGTAGGATTCTTCAGGGAGTATTTTTCATCTTATCCTGACCAAGTTATTGTGATGAAAATATCTGCAAGCAAATCAGGATTTGTTTCATTTACAGTGTCTCTAGATAGCCAGTTACACCATCATTCATACGTCAAAGGAAGTAACCAAATTTTTATGGAGGGTTCTTGTCCTGGTAAAAGAATTCCACCAGAAGTAAATGATAATGATCCCAAGGGAATTCAGTTTTGCGGCATTCTTGATCTAAAGATTAGTGAAGAGAATGGCATGATAAGTATCTTGGATGACAAAAAATTGAAAGTTGAGGGCTCAGACTGGGCTATTCTGCGCCTAGTGGCTTCTTCTTCGTTTGATGGACCTCTAACAGACCCTTCAGATTCTAAAAAGGATCCCACTGCAGATGCAGTTCATGCGCTAAAATCAATACGAAATCTTTCATACTCGGAGCTCTATGCACGCCATTTGAGTGACTACCAGAACCTTTTCCAACGTGTTTCACTTAAGTTAAGGAAAAGTTCCAGCTCTCCTAATGCCATGGGATATGCGTCTCTTGCGACCGGTGAACCTTCTTCAATTACTGATCTATGTAATAAGGGGAATGAGAGTGGTAAAATATCTACTGCTGATAGGATTAGGTCTTTTGCAATTGATGAAGATCCTTTTCTGGTGGAGTTGTTATTCCAATTTGGTCGTTATTTACTTATATCTTGCTCAAGGCCTGGAACCCAGGTGGCAAATCTACAAGGAATTTGGAACAAGGATATTGCACCAAAATGGGAGTATGTTTTGTGATCTCATTTTCTTCCGAATGCTTTTCTTTCTAACCATGTCTCTACTTTTCATATATAAGTCTAACTAATTATCCTATGCGGTTTGTTACTTTCACTTTCTTTTGTTTAGTTTTTTTCCACCCTTAATTCATTCTGCTGTGTTCTTGTCATCGCCATGCGTATCTTTCTGATCATGTCACTCTAGATTATGATGCAAACAGAGAGGAAGATGAAAAAAGAAATAGATTGCATGTAGGAGATATTACTTCAAATGCTTGTCAACGAGCAGCATGTATAGTATCGCGGATGGATTCCGATTGATAGTACTTCTCTAATCCAGTATGCTGTTAATATGATGTGCTTGCAGCTACTTTTAGGGAATCTGTGTGTGGACAGTCACTGACTGAATCCCCTCCTTTTGCTCAGTTCCGCTCCTCACATGAACATCAATCTCGAAATGAACTATTGGCCTTGCCTTCCCTGCAATCTTGCTGAGTGCCAGGAGGCTTTGTTTGATTTTCTTTCCTCTTTATCAGTGAATGGGTGTAAAACTGCAGAAGTGAGTATTCAACTTTAATGGTTCTGCAAGAATCTACATTTTGTGATCGCAGAGTTTATATCTATCTGTCGGATATCTTGAAAATGAAAGCAAGTAGTTTCACTCTTTGGGAGTCAATATCATCTGTGCCACAAGCCATTCTGTTCGAAAGTTTTAAGCACATGGACTCGGAGAATTATGAGATAAGATGATGAGTCCATAAGTTTTCCAGATGTTTGAAGGGTTCCATTCTTTTTGGTGAGGTAGATTACAGCAGAAAAGAAAATTTGAGTTTCCAAAACAATGCTTGGTGGACCATTCCAATGCAAAAGTTCTGCTTGCATGATAAGATGCAATCGCATGCAAAACGGAACACATGCTGTCTGTCTTGATCCTTCAATCTCTTTGATTTTCTAATTCTAACCCCTTCCTCAATTCTGAGAAAATTATTTCGTATTTTCAGTGGTAAAAGAATCAGTTTAACCATGTACTAGCTGATTGCTGTTGACTGCAAATCAAAATAAAATCCTCTCTTACCTTGTCAGAGAATGCTACAGGTTAACTATGGGGCAAGAGGTTGGGTTGTACACCATAAAACTGACATATGGGCAAAGTCATCGCCAGTTTCAGGTGAAGTTGTGTGGGCAATGTGGGCAATGGGTGGCGCATGGCTTTGCACGCATCTCTGGGAGCACTATAAATATACAATGGACAAGGTAGTTCCAATGCCGCCATGTTCGGTGGAAATCTTTTTTCTGATTTATCGTCTTCCTTTCCTGCTAGGCAGAAATGGGTCTATGCTTATATCACGTAATTGCATTAAATTGCAGAGAGATTCTTTGACCTGATGGCATTAGAAAGTTTCTGAGAGGTCACTATGCTATCTCAAGCTTTGTGTTCTGAAGCTTTCGTTGATTTCTTTCTTTCTTTCTTTTTCTTTAGATTCCCAACAGTTGCCTCCCCTTTGCAGTATGAGAGATTGCAATAGATAGCATTAGCCTAGAGTGTGAGTCAAGCCTAAGCATAAGTTCTGGCCTTCGAATTTTTCAGCTTCATATTGACTTTTAGGCCCTTTTCTAGCATCCTCTAGCTATTCCTTTTTCAGATCGGAGTTTTTTTATCCAGAACTGACATGATAGCTGTTCTGCACAAATTGGAAAAGCAACTATCATCTTCGAAAATCTAAAGAAAGTCTCTTGTTTTATCTTGAACAGCCACGTATTTATTCCGTAGCTCTGCAATGTGCATTTCTCTCTGCTTATATCAGAGGCACTAATTGTTAGGTATGCACTGAAAATTTCCGATGCTTGATATTAAGCAGGAGTTTCTCAGGAACAAGGCTTATCCTTTGTTGGAAGGATGTGCACAGTTCCTGTTGGACTGGTTGATTGAAGGCCCTGATGGATACCTTGAAACCAACCCATCAACATCTCCAGAGCATCGCTTTATTGCTCCTGATGGTAAGCCTGCTAGTGTGAGCTACTCAACAACAATGGACATGGCAATCATAAAGGAAGTGTTCTCTGGAGTTGCTGCTGCTGCTGAGGTGAAGCCTCATCCAAATAGGCAGAAAAATTTAGCTTTCTCCTGCTTCATAGCTTTTATACCTTTGTAATGAAGTTCTGAATAACAGGTTCTAGGGTATACTAATAGTGATCTTGTCAATAAAGTGCGGAAGGCTCAGACGAGGCTTCGTCCAATTAAAAGAGCCATGGATGGTTCTATCATGGAATGGGTATGTGGTGGCTTAAATGCTTTCTACTCTTCCTCAAGTTCAGCTCAAGAACAATCGTTGTAATTTTTCTTTTTCAGTACAAAGGCTGCCTATCTTTGTGGTCTAACCAGTACTTCCTGTGAAGGCAGGCATTAGATTTCAAGGATCCGGAAGTGCATCATCGTCATCTTTCTCACCTTTTTGGCCTGTTTCCGGGACACACAATAACTTTGGAACTCACTCCTGATCTCTGTACTGCTGCAGAGAAATCCCTCTACAAAAGAGGTCGGCTTCTTGTGGTCGGATCATTATTTAAGATTTGTGTGCTTGATTGTCTGGGGGGGCTGCGGGAGTGGTTTTTTTTTTTTTTTTTTGGTGCGGGGGGAGGGGGAGGCGGTTGGCGAATGCTTTACACACCATTTTAAATGCAAATATTGGTCTGAGGAATATGCTTATTCATTGGACATCTTTCTTTGTCTATACAACAGTTGTTTATTTGATTATTATGTGACAGTAATAAAGATCAGGCTAGCACAATTTCTGTGCTGCATCTTTCATAAGCTCGGATTAAATGAGAGTCTGTAGTGGGCTTCATCTTGGAACTCTTATACTGCTATGCTGCTAGTGAGATAGTTGAATGGTTTTCTGACATTTTTGTGATTGGTTCAGGAGAGGATGGTCCAGGATGGTCTACAACATGGAAAACCGCTCTCTGGGCACGACTCCATAGCAGCGAGCATGCGTATCGGATGGTCAAGCATTTGATTACCTTGGTGGATCCACATCATGAGGTGTCCTTCCATGGAGGATTATACAGTAACTTATTTGCTGCACATCCTCCTTTCCAGATTGATGCTAACTTTGGGTAAGAAGATATTATATGTTTTCTATAGGGAATGAGTGTGGTGTGAACACAATCTCTCAGGACTAGTATATGAAGTGAATTATTGAAAAAAGCCTTTGATTTTCAATCATCTCTTCTTCAACAACAATGTTTCTCAAATTGGAACTCGGGAATATGATTGTGACTGCCTCAAAATTGAACTTCATATATGCCATTAGTCCCATTGGACATTCTAAAGAAAGATTTCGATTTGTACGTTGTGAATATTGAAAGTTACGTGTATGTCTCTCAGTGCTTGCACTGTTTGACTGCATTTTCTTGGACGTTAAATTTTAGATGCAAAATGAATTAACTACGTGATGTTTAACAATCTGATATTTAATTTATGTGACTTGAAAGAGTTTTATCTTTTGCCTATCTCCCATAGAGTTCATATGACAATTTTCTTACTTTGAGTCGACTCTAGAAGAGATTCTTCCAAGTTCCTTTGTGGATATTTCTTCTTAATATTCTACCTTTCCAGTGAATGAACTATTTTTGATACATAAGTAACGGCAATGAAGGAGTATGGGAATTGGAAACATTACTTAATCCGGTTTTTACCTTTCATCTTGGGTCAGTTTTATAGCAGCGGTTGCGGAAATGCTCGTGCAGAGCACTGCTAAGGATTTGTACTTGCTTCCTGCTCTTCCCTGGGACAAATGGGGGAATGGTTCGGTGAAGGGACTGAAAGCGCGCGGAGGGGTCACGGTCAACATCCGCTGGAGTGAGGGAGACCTCAATGAAGTTGATGTTTGGTCAAAGGACCGGATCTCTCTTCACAAGTTGCACTATAAGGGAACTTCAGTGACAGTAGATATTGCATCTCATAGAGTCTACACATTCAATGGACAGTTGAGACTCATGAAGACATGCTCCGTTTAGGACGCTTTACGTGTCATGTCTTCCCAACATAAGAAAAAATTAGAAAGGAGGATGTTAGGAACCTATGAAAGTTTGGGACCATCCTTTCTTTTTGCGCAACTTTTATTTAGCTGTTGTTGCTTTTGAGTTCTCTCAACCTTACATGGTAATGTGACCTGACTACCAAGTAATTTTCAGATTTACTCTACTCATGCCATTCTAGTTTGCTCCAAAGCATTTTGTTGGTTGGGATTGTGCAAGAGAATCTTCAAGAGGCATGAGAAGCAAAAATAAGATCCTTTGTTAGAAGTTTGCTTGAGAAGTCTGTCGGTTACAATTATAATTCACGCTTATCATTCTTAAATTTTTTGAAGTCACTTCTGATACTTTTTCCAAGTATTCACGCTCTGAAAGTGCTTTTGTTTCTGTGTCATCCAAGGTTATGTTTCTATAACAACACAAGAATTGGCCTAGACTCTGCATACAACGGTTCCAGGGCCAGAGAGTTTTCATCATTGTAAAACAACAGCATCTGTAATTCATCTATCAGGAACCCAGTTTGGTCCCTTCCATGCTTGGGAAGCTGATCAGCAGAGTCGTTGGCTTCACGGTGCCTATGACAAAAGGGTCATCGCTGCTCTATCCGTAAATACATTGCGTGTATTCCTTCGAAAACGCTTAAAACCGAGATGGTCCTCTAATCACGAATTGAACCCTTTAGAGTGCAAACAGCAAGCTGAAGCAAGGCTTCTGTTCCGAGTCAGAGAAAAAATAAATAACTTCGACGATCTGGGCAATGCCGCAAAAGGATTCAAGCTTTGGTACAGTTGTAACACCGTGATCTTAATTTTGTCCACCACACCGCATCATTCTTTCATAGAATGAGTATATTCAGAATCTTCTTCTGCTTCTTGCTCGCATCAACAGGCATAATTAAACTTTGTATGCACGGCAGTAACGTCCAAATATAAGCAACAACCGGTCATTTTCCTCCTCCTCACGAGCATCTGTTCTCAGAATCTTTTCTGCCGATCATTACACTTGAACTCGCTCCAAGACACGATGATCCGACTCATCTCTCTCGTTTATACATGCATGGCCGTTTGAGAGCCTTCTCATTAGAGCTCACTAATTCACTTCATCTGCCCACGTCATTGACACTTCTTTCATTCCTCTGCAACGGTAAGCAATTAAGGAGAGAAAAGGACGTGATCTTGATGGAGCGAGCAGACGATTCTGAGCCGTTGAAAGTGACGTTCAGTGGGCCCGCCAAGTACTTCACTGATGCTGCTCCGATCGGCAATGGCAGGCTCGGAGCCATGGTGTGGGGTGGCGTTGCCTCAGAATTTCTCCAACTCAACGGTGAATCACTCTTCTCCTCTCTTCTGATGAATTCGTCAAATGAGGAAGCAGTTTCTTTTGGAAACCGAAGAACAACGGAAAGTCGTTTTCTTCCAGGTTGTCGGAGTGGTGAAAGTTTGAAGCCAGCTAATGTTGAACAATTCTAGGTGTACCAAGACCAATTTACTAAATTGGCTTAATAAGTGATGTGTAGACTTTTGACGTTGTATATGACCCACTTATTTAAAGGGTCAACTGCAATTTAGCGGTTTAGTATACCTATCATAACTCGCTAAAGTTTATTGCACGGACATACATCAATCTGATTGAATGTTTAACTTTTGCGTAGAGGATACTCTCTGGACTGGGATTCCGGGCAACTACACTAATCCTAATGTACCAGCGGCTATGGTGGAGGTCAGGAAGCTCGTGGATGACGGTGAATATGCTGATGCTTCTGCAGCAGCTGTCAATATGTTAGGAAATCCATCTGAAGTATGTGTCTTTATCTACTTTAGGCATGAATTTTACTTTATTTCCATATTGAGAAGATGAATTGTTTGTACCATGTATTGGTTTCATGATTTATGGTTTCTGTGAGCTTAATTGGGTGTTGGCTGTGTCAGGTGATGGGATACACATTATCAATCCTTAGACTTAGCAAGCCCACGTATCCATGAATTTATCATATTAATTTGCTCGCTTATTTGCTTATCAATGAATTAAGATTGAAATCAAGATGCCTGATTTGTGGGGTATCCTGATTCTCAACTGAACCGGGCATGCTGGAATCAGCTCGTAGTCATAATAATGGGCCCTTCTATGGCCTAAGTGTTTAAAGGATGCGGCTACTCATCAGGTGCTGAAATATGTTGTGGTTAAGTACATTAGCTACTTCTCAAAGACTAAATCTTCTAGCATTTCTCTCTCAATGCAAATTGATCATCATTCCTGTATTCCTTTCTTCAGACATGTTAGTTTAGTATACATCAGATTTTCTACTCATTGTATTTCTCATTTTGAAGCTCCTCTCCTCTGGTCAGCAATCGCAAGGGAAAACAAAGCATTCTGTTTACAGTTTCACCCTCCTCTAACCTCTTTCAGTTATGATGTAGGTTTACCAACTCCTTGGGGACCTCAAGCTGGAGTTTGATGATCTCCATCTTACATATGCTGAAGAAACATATAGCAGGGAACTAGACTTGAACACTGCTACCGTGAGAGTTGGATATTCTGTAGGCAATGTACAATTCTCAAGGGAGTACTTTTCATCTTACCCTGACCAAGTTATTGTGATGAAAATATCTGCAAGCAAATCAGGATTTCTTTCGTTTACATTGTCTCTAGGTAGCCAGCTACACCATCACTCCTATGTCAAGGGCAGTAACCAAATTATCTTAGAGGGGGCTTGTCCTGGTAAAAGAATTCCACCAGGAGCAAATGATAATGCTCCCAAGGGAATACAGTTTTGTGCCATTCTTGATCTAAAGATTAGTGATGACATTGGCATAATAAGTGTCTTGGATGACAAAAAATTGAAGGTTGAGGGTTCAGATTGGGCTATTCTGCGCTTAGTGGCTGTTTCTTCGTTTGACGGACCTCTAGTAGATCCTTCAGATTCTAAAAAGGATCCCACCGCAGATGCAGTCAGTGCGCTGAAAACAATAAGAAACCTTTCATACTCTGAGCTCTATGCACGCCATTTAAGTGACTACCAGAACCTTTTCCAACGTGTTTCACTTAATCTTAAGAAAAGTTCCAGCTCTACCAGTGCCACAGGATTCGCGTCTCCAGATACTGGTGAACCTTCTTCAGTGACTTGTCTATACAATAAGGGGAGCGGCAATGGTAGAATATCTACTGCTGATAGGATTAGGTCTTTTGCAATTGATGAAGATCCTTCTTTTCTGGAGTTGTTATTCCATTTCGGTTGTTATTTACTTATTTCTTGCTCGAGGCCTGGAACCCAGGTGTCAAATCTACAAGGAATCTGGAACAAGGATATTGCACCAGATTGGGAGTATGTTTGTGATCTCATCTCTTTCCAAATGCTCTTCATTCTCCTCTCTCATCTTCCATTCCTCCACCCTCCATACATTCTGCATTGATCTCATCGCCCTTCGATTGTGTTCAACTCTAGACATATCTTTGGAATTTGTGTCGATTGTAAACTAAAATGACGATGCCGTGCTTTCTCGATGCTTTAGGCGACATTTCTAATTGTGGTTTTTTCCTCTTCAGCAAATGTGGCTTCTAGGATAGTAAGGTTGGGAGAGCTTGAGCATGATTAGCTTAATTTGTTATAATTTTTTCTGCTATATGCAGAGCGGAATCTCCCATATTTGCATTAGAGTTTGAGTTCCTTTTTCTGGGCGTTACTTTTGATATTGGATCATTTATGTCGTTTGTTTACTCATAGTCCCCAGTTACTTTAAATGTTTCAGTGCTCCAGTGTTCATCCCGCTACATGCAAAGAGAGCGGAAGATGTAAAAAGAAACGGAGTACATTAAGTAGATATCACTTCAAATTCTTCTTGTTGTATGGAAAGCTTGTACAGCGCTGTTGATAGTATCCGATCGATAGTAATTCTCTGATGCAGGATGCTGATCATAAAATGTGCTTGCATCTACGTTTTGGAACGCTTTGTTTGGACAGCCACTGACTGAACCCCCTCCTTTTGCTCAGTTGCGCTCCTCACTTGAACATCAATCTTCAGATGAACTATTGGCCTTGCCTTCCCTGCAATCTTGCTGAGTGCCAGGAGCCTTTGTTTGATTTTCTTTCCCCTTTGTCCATCAATGGGAGTAAAACTGCAGAGGTGAGAATTCAACTTTAATGGTTCTGCAAGATCTAGATTAACGAATGATTTGTATTTGTCTGTCAGTTTTCTAGAAAATGAAAGCAAGTAATTTCACTCTTCAGGAGCCACTATCATTACCACTATGCATTCTGTCTGCGAATTTCAAGTAATGGACTAGGAGAATTGTGAGATAAGATAATGAGGATGTAAATTTTCCGGATGATGCTTTTTGGTTTCCACAACAATGCGAGGTGGACCACTCCATCGCAAATGTTATGGTTGTACATTAGGTGATAAGAACTGCTCAGGTGCAAAGGAGAACACATGACGTCTTTCTCAATCCTTTGATCTCTTTGATTTTTCTAATCTCATTCTGAATTTGGAGAATATTAAGCATATTCAAATTTTCAGTTGTACAACAATCAGTTTGACCATGAACTAGCTGTTGTTGAACACTAGACGTAAAAGAATCTCCTCTTACCTTGTTAGAGAATGTTACAGGTTAACTATGAAGCAAGAGGTTGGGTTGTACATCACCAAACTGACATATGGGCCAAGTCATCACCAATTCCAGGTAAGGTTAAGTCTGCAATGTGGCCAATGGGTGGCGCATGGCTTTGCACACATCTCTGGGAGCACTATATGTATACAATGGACAAGGTAGTTCTGATGCCTCTGTTTGATTGACCTATTTTTCTGCTTTATCATCTTCCTTTCTTGCGAGTCCTGACATGGATCTCAAGCATGTATGCTCTAAAGCTTTCTTTCATTTCTTTGTTTCTTCTTTCTAGAAAAGTTTGCCACCTCTTGCAAGAAAGTAGAGTTTGACAATAGATAGCGTTAGCCTAGAGTCTGAGTCAGGACAAAGCAGAAGTTCTGGCCTGGTGCATCTTTCGGTTTCAAATAGATTTTTGGCCCTTTCCTAGATTTCTCTGGTTTGTTCCTTTTGCAGATTGGAATGTATGAATAGCCGAGAGCATAGTCGTTTTCTACAAAAAGGAAAGCAGCTCCTGCTTTTAAAATCTTTGAAATTTTTCCAAATGAAAAAAAAAATAGTTTATTTAATCCCGAACAGCCATGTATTTATGCTGTAGCTCTGCAAGGTGCATACTCTCTCTTACTTGCACGGGATTGCACTATATGTTAGGCATGCACTAAAATCTTTCAATACTCAACATTAAACAGGACTTCCTTAAAAACAAGGCATATCCTCTGTTCGAAGGATGCGCAACTTTCCTGTTGGACTGGTTGATTGAAGGCCCTGATGGGTATCTCGAAACCAACCCATCAACATCTCCAGAACACAACTTTATTGCTCCCGATGGAAGGGTTGCTAGTGTGAGCTACTCAACAACAATGGACATGATGATCATAAACGAAGTGTTCTCTGCAGTTGTTACCGCTGCTGAGGTGAAGCAACATCCATAAAACAGGCGTAAACGCTTAGCTTTCTGCTGGTTCACAGCTTTTAAACCTTCATAACTAAGTTCTGAATAACAGGTTCTTGGGTATACCGACAGTGATCTAGTCAATGAAGTGCGGAAGGCTCAGACAAGGCTTCGCCCAATAACAATAGCCATGGATGGTTCTATCATGGAATGGGTATGTGGTGGCTTAAATGCTTTTCTGTTCTTACTCAAGTTCAACTTACGACCAAGTGGTCTGATTTATCCGTCTAAGTACAAAAGCAGCCTGCTCTTTATGGTCTAAACAGTAATGTCTATGAAGGCAGGCCCTAGATTTTGAGGATCCAGAGGTGCAACATCGTCATCTTTCGCACCTGTTTGGCCTGTTTCCGGGGCACACAATGACTTTGGAAGGAACTCCTGATCTCTGCACTGCTGCGAAGAAATCACTCTATAAAAGAGGTATGCGCTTCTTAAGTGGCTGGACTATTGCTTCAATCTTTGCATGTCGTGTCATCTTTCCGGGGCCACAAGTGCTCTACTTTTACACGAGATCTGTGTTATAAATATTGGTTCCAGGAATATTCCCAATCACCAGACGTGTTCTTTTCTTCTGCTTTGATGCTGCTCGCGATGGCTAGATGGTTTCTAAACTTCTTTTCGATGGAGTTCAGGAGAGGATGGTCCAGGATGGTCTACAACATGGAAAGTCGCTCTCTGGGCACGTCTCCATGACAGCGAGAATGCTTATCAGATGGTCAAACATTTGATTACCTTGGTGGATCCAGATCATGAGGTGTCCTTCCATGGAGGATTGTATAGCAACTTATTTGCTGCACATCCTCCTTTCCAGATTGATGCTAACTTCGGGTAAGAGAAACTCATTGCGCTTTATCACGACAGCGAAGAGCAACAACTCCGACATCCACTACATGTGACCGGCGTTTCCTTTATCTGTTCCTAGCTTTATAGCGGCGGTTGCGGAAATGCTCGTGCAGAGCACGGTGAAGGATCTGTACTTGCTTCCCGCACTACCCCGGGACAAATGGGGGGATGGTCGGGTGAAGGGGCTGAAGGCGCGCGGCGGGGTCACTGTCGACATCCGCTGGGGCGACGGAGACCTCCGTGAAGTCGATGTTTGGTCCGAGGGCCATAACTCTCTTCAGAAGCTGCACTACAGGGGGACTTCAGTGAAAGTAGACATTGCATCTCGCAGAATCTACACATTCAATGGGCAGTTGAGACTCCTGAAGACGTCCTCGCTTTAGGACAAAGCTTACATTGTACACAGTGTTTCCACGTTGAGTCTAAACTGAATAATAAGATATCCATTGTCAGGCAAGGTGCGGTTTTAGATCTCTTGAAGCTCATCTATATAGCTCGAGAGCCCGATTGATAATTTAGACAAATGACATCGAGGGCATTATCATATAAGACCTGCTATGGACTTGAATATATAAATGTGATAATTTTATGTTTCGCCGTAATTTAAGAAAGTTGTGTAAATGTATAGAAAAAGAGTAGATTTACTCCTAAAACGAATGGTGGAGATGCAATAAGTGATTAAGCTTATCCACATGGAGTAAAATGCTTCATAATGCTTATATTCGTTCAAAAACTGAATGAAAAAATAATTAGTATATCCGATTAATCCTGAAATAAATAGGGTGTCGTCACAAATTCATATAGATATTATTTCAAACCGTTGTAACTCTTAAATTAACTCAAAATCTTTTAAGTTTATCGGCTGAGATCAATATAGATGTTATTGTTGACTCAAACTCAATTTGCGTGATTAATTATTCTTCTAAAAAATTAGACTCCATCAAACACATATTTAAAAAAGATGTAACATAGGGGCCTTGAAGAATTCGTGGGCCTTATGGCCGGCCCAGGCCCCAATGGCCCAAATAAGGAAAATGGGCGGGCTCCGGAGAGGTCCTTCGTTGAAAAGCCCGAACCGCCACACTCGGGTCGGGCCTATCCGAGCATCACGCATGATATTGACGACAGCAAATCGGACGTCCCTCCGCCCATTCCCACACGGAGCCTACCCTGCTCCTGCGCAACACCCTGACACAAGCCCGAATCCAAAACCCTCGCTACTCGCTAGAACCTCGTCTTGTTTTCATCTCCCTCCGCCGTCACATCTCGCCGGATCTGAGCCATGGCCGGGCGTTGCGGATCGCTGTCTCGCTCCCTGATGTCGTCGGCGAGGGCTTCGTCGTCGCCGTTCCGCTCGTCGCCGCCGCCTCTCTCCCGCCTCCTCCGCCCGCCTCCCGTGGCCTCCCCGCGCCTCCAGTCTCGCCGCCGCCCCTCCTTCGCCGCTCCCAGGTCACATTTCCCCCCCTTCCGTTCTGGACTAGGGATCGGCGATTCCGGTGGAAGATGCTGTCCTTTTTGGTTGAATTTTAGCGGCCTGCGATTCTCGAGAAACTGAGGATCGAGACCGTTCGGTTCCGCTTTATAGGGCGAAGTAGTTGATCTGAGAGATTAGGCTTTGTCTTTGACGGAGGATCGCCGGACTTTTGAATTGTTTGTATATAGTGGGAGCGCTGCTTCGAGCGATGTGTGTAGGCGAGCGGCGTTTTACTGGTTTCGATGCGTTGGTTCGTGTCCAGTGGATTTGTGATGCTTTGTTGAGCAGTGCTGAATGTGTTCTTGCTGCTTTCGTTTTGTTCAGTAGGAGCATGGGTGAACTAGGGTGCACTCAGTCTCTTCTGCCTCTACAATGCACTCCCAGGCTTACCTCGCACCTCAGTGTAGCCGTGCGAGCATGCTGCGAGCTGTCTCACGGTACCTTCTGCCGTACTTGTCAGGATCGCTAGTATTTTCTTTGTGAGTCTCATTGTATCTAGGTCGCATTGCGATTGGATTATTGGAAGAAATTTTCAATTCTTGTCTTTGAATTATTTTTTTTTTGCTAAACTATTAGTTCTTTGGTGAAAGTTGGTAACATCATCTACTGTGTAATTGCCGCAAAAAATGAGATGATGGTTCTTTCTTAAGAGTCTCTTTGATAAGTGTCAAGTTGATAAGAAAGGGATTGGGTTTGGTAGGGTGGAATGGAAAAGATGGGTGATGCACAAGGACTTTCAATCATGCAAAGGCACAGTAATGGTTCTGAAAATTGTAGGTGCTTCTCTTTTTGAATGCGCTGTTTCTTTCCTATGAAGATTTTGCAATTTTCATGATATTGACCTACAGACTCACCTTGGTTGAGGAATGGAAAAGTGGTCTTGTTTCATTTCCCATATCCCCCACTTTCCCTCCGATTGCTTATGAAGAAAATAAAAGCATGTCGCTGGGAAATAGTATTTATTGTGATTGGAAGCAGATTAAAATCTATGGATATCTGAAGTGTGCCTTGCTCAGAAAAATAAGCTGTTCATTAACAGTTGTCCAACCTGAAACTTTCAGTGGTTACTGGTTATGGAGATTAGATTGTGCAATGCTATGTGCTTATTTATCTGTACTTAATGCTCTGGTAGCTATATATATATGTATTTGTTGACCAGCCCTGGGTTATGGCCATGTATCGAGACATTGAATGCTTAGGCTTCTTCTTGTTTGTTATAAAATTATTGCGCTGGTTGCATTCCTTTATGGATGATGTTGAATATACATGTCTCATTCCTTCATGTGTAATTGCCCTGGTGAGATTTTCATCCTCTAGGAAGTTATCTTTTATCACAATAGAAGTGCTGTAGATCCTTGATTCAAGAAGAACCTGAACTTTATTGAGGTAAAATTGAATGAAGAAAAGGCAAAAGTAAACATCCACTACATGATAACTACATTCTGGTTCAATTTTGTTGTGAGAAAGTCTTACAGGTTGAAAGGTTGATCCTTTAATGTTTCATCGTAACCTTGAGCTTTCCTGATTAATTCGTAGCAATAATTCATTAAGATGCTAATCATTTGTATGAACTGGACAATGAAAAGCTTATTTGGAAAGGCTAAGTGCGGCTATGGTGCCAGGTTTAAAATTTTAAAATCGCCTGTGTTTCATGAAAATGCTAATGAAAATGAAGATGATACTCTAAGGGCTACTTGACCCTCGATTTTAGATAGAAACCTGCTTTCTCATTTTTTTTGGAGGTGCCCTGGCCCATAGTTGTTCTCACATCAAGTGCCATGCGGCTGTATTGCAGGTACTTGAGCAGCTCTTGGATTAGCACAACCATGTGCTAAAGCATAGATGGGACTTGCAGAAGGTGGATGTGGCCAGGGAAGACAAAAAGTTTGTAGACCTAAGAAATAAAGTGTTGATTTTATTGTCAAAAGAGAACTTGAGGACTTGTTGGACGGGCATTCTCTCCTGTGCAGTTTGTATTAGATACTTCTTCATCCACTGCTCTTCCTTTTGAGCACAGTCGCTTTCTAATCTTTCAGATCAATCTTAAGATGCGAGGTTTTGTCCATTTTCATGAAGGACCTGTTGATAATGTTGGATTTTGTTTCATAGTGCGGTGAGACTGATGTTAGCTCCAGGAACTTGGACTTTTCCTCGCTAGCAACGGCTAATATGTGAGTCACCACGAGCAATATATTGCTGTTTGCGCATCATTCTCTCTTTTTACGAAATCGTTCTTTGAGCATTTGTTCTAGATATCCGCAATTGATCGGATAGCAATGCTAAATTAGAGAATCTCAGAGGAGGATGAAAAATTTACTATTACCGACTGTTGCTCCTTGTAGGTATATTAATTGTTACTTCTTCAAATGAAAATTCACATTCCTATGGGTAAATTTACTGGTCATGTCTAGATCTTACTTTTCTATATTTGCTTCTAAGCTAATTTTGGGAACTCCTAATCATTTCTGAAAAGTTCGAACTCGTACATATGTTGGAAATTACTTTCCCTAATACAGATTTGCTACTCGAATAGAGAAATTACTAGTAGGAATATTTACTATAAGAAAGTTATTAATCAAAGATATAAACTAACTCAGTATGGTTACCCATTATTTAATATTTACTATTAAGATGAAAAGTTACTAATCAGAGCGGGGAGTTCCTAATTATTGAGTAGTTCAAGAAACACCTGAAAAATTGCTCTCAAAATGAAGGAAGTTACATATCATAACTCGGGTGAAGAAATGGTATCAAGTGTTCATATTGTGTGGTATCAACTTTCCTAATCAAATGGAAGTTTCCACATTACTACTCGGAGTAACTTTTTTGTGATAAGTTACTTACTACCGTAGAAAATTACTTATAATTGGGTTAAGCAGTTGTCTTTTTTTTTATTTTATTGAAATTGGTCCAACAGTATACCCGGTTCTATATTTTGATCCAATAATCTAAATTGAATTGCGCACGGATGCACCTCAAATTCGAAGCCAACGTAGCAAAGGGGGGATTTCTAGAAAGCTGATTTTGAATTGACTTACATCGTGCGGAAGATCGGACATCTGTCGATAAGAAAAATCTTTGCCTCCACCTTTGTCTAGTACGACGCTCACATAGACCCATATGATCAACAGTTGTTACAAAGTTGGTTTACTGGGCCCGGATCGAGGCGAGTATTTCCTACATGAAGGGTCTCTTCAAAAAATTACTGCGGATTCTTGTTGCTGAAGCCAGATCTAACATCTCCTGACTCACTTTCTTAACGCTTCCACACTGGGACTGATCAATCCTGAACGATAAATTAAATTTGACCTGTGTGGGCACATGAGGTTGCAGGAACTTTGTTTTTGACAGTAATTGGACGGGGGAAATATGGGCACGAGGGTTGTTGCTGCTAGTTGGTGCAGCATGACCCACCCACCATGTCCTTTCGTGCGCGGATAAATCGAGTCAAAGCAAGTGCAGTGGCCATGTCCTCCTGTTTGTTTTCTCTCGGTAGTGATCAAGAACCAGGTTTTTAGGCTAATCAGAACAACATCGATTTTTAGGCTGTTCCCATCAGTGAACAACTCTTGATAGGGCCCCTCTTACGGTTTTCTCGGATCTGCTGTATCGGTTTTTCCTCTCGAGACATACTTAGGTACTCTTGAACATGTTCTTTCTATTGAGGAAGTCCATACTGCAACATGGTAGCTGGTAGACAACTCTGTTGTTTCTTTCTTTTTGGCTGTTTTCGAATGGAGAGGGGGGAAAAACACCAAGCTCAGATGGTATCTCTGACCGAGCAGGAATGGATCTCCACCGAGGGAGTGGTAGTAACTCCGCGTTGTTTTGTAGGCCGTCGACTGAGAAAAGCAAAAGGAGAAAAAGGAAAGAAAGCGATATCGAGTCCGGATTGGCCATTGGGTGCTGCAAGTGGATAATACCGGGACCTCCTTCAACTTGTCGGATATCGGTAATGTAGATTACTATTCGAGGAGAACTGATCCTAGGAAAAAGCAAAGTGAGCACAGTGCTTTGCATATTTCCTTTAGGAAGTGGTCCAGTTCAGCCTCACGCTTGACGTGATTCATGTGACCAGGGACCGAAAATCTCCGGCGCCATGAGCATCTTTGCTCCGTGCTCATTGACTCAAGTCTCGGGATGAGAATCAACGATCACCCAAATGGAAAGTGCGACCGAGATAAAGACTGAGCCGAGTTACAAATGCTGGAAAGACTGTTCAACCATGGATGTTGATTGAACAGGAGGTAATAAGCTCCCTCTATGTTCGACACGAGGGCACGAAAAACGAAAAACAAGTTTATGGCATAATACGGCGCATGCGAGCCCAACTCACATACAGCATACGCCGTTGGATCATGCCAGCCTCACATGATCAAACAATGCACGCGCATTTTTGGGCCATGTGCATCGAGATCATGCAATAATAGCTCCAAAAGGATGCCCGGCATAATGCACTCGCTCGAGGAATTCGGGGTCCTTTTCCAAACTCTCGTTTTCTTCATTTTCCTGAGTGGGTGAGAGAAGCCATTTGACGAAGCAGTAGAAAGTTACAGCAGAAAGCCTCCAAAAGGGGAACGATAAAGTTCAATCACATCATGATCACCCAATGACAAACTCATCTGTTTGTAATCGACAATCCAAATCTCCTTTCAGCTTGGATCTAAACACGAATGGATAGAAGCAAAGATAGGTGGAAGATCCAGTCAGTCACTTTGTTCATTTGCTAAGGGCCTTTAATCTGTTCCCAAGTGGTATAATTTGAGGGCAACAAATCACGACCATGCACTAGCACTACTAGTCTTCTGTTGGCCACATTGCGTATGTTTTCTTCATCTGCAAACAGTTTCGTGGAAACTGATCACCATAGTTCCTTTTCGCCCTTTCGGTTTCTAAGTTACAAACTAGGATTTCCATCCTCGCTTGCCGACGGCTGATGGGCTGTGACTAACAAAGACAAAAAACATTCACTTCCATATCCTATATAAGAACTCATGAGTGGACGTACCGTGTTCTTGGCCATTCAATCAATTCATGAGTGGACATAACCTGTCCTTGGCCATATAATCGTCACACAATCATAATACCAATGAGACACTCGTGTTATGCAGGTATACTAAATTCTACTGGACGCCTTTGTTATGGCCGTGAATGCTCTCCACCTGCATGATGCGGACGAATTAATCCTGGCCGTCTTCTATACCGATTTACTGGTAACCACATAAATCTATAGAAAGCCAGTCTCTGTCTATAAACAATACCGAGATGATGAGAATCTGATTCAGCCTCAACCTGCCTCCAATTAAACAACCCCAATCACGTCCTGCTTGTACACCATGGCATCCAACTATATTTAGTCCACTCAACATGATTAATGCAGTTCGCCTTTCTCATTTTGTTCGTCCATGAAATGAACAGACTGAAGTCATTGATAGCTGATACCACTTCTGAAAATAAAAAGAAGACCGATACTCTATCGTATCTGATAATAACTGTGTCAAAAGATAGACCCAAACATGGCCTGGCCTGATAAGATCGACTTTTAGGGGGAGAGATTCTCCAGGAGGGCAGGAAGGTCACTATATACCACTGACGCTAGAAGGTGCAAAACAAAGTACCCTTTATGGGGAACTGAGCAACTTGCCTTCCCCACAGATTTTCATAGCCAAAAAGTTGGGGAATAAAAAAGCCTCCGACTTGTGCTTAATGCACATCTCCTGCTGTACACATACTTTTCCCAGTGCCCACTAAAGTGATTACGGGAGAGAGAACAGCAACAAGCCCCAGCATGAAGACACCCACGTAGATACTCTTGCTCTAAGAGGGAACACCATATAAAAAATGGTAAGATACCACTCTATCTCGTCCCCTAACTTCTATCACCATTATTGGCAATTGTTGGGGCCCTATGTAGCCCCCACAGCACATTAAATCAAACAGCATTTACTAATAATAACCTACACCTGTCACCACCCAGTTGAACAGCAGCATTCAGAGGCTCAAGCTTATCATTCACTCACAAAGTCTGATCACCACCTCAGGCTCAGCGGTTCTTCACATCTCTTCTTCTTTCTGGGGCTGCACAGATGATAAAATGTAATCTGAAAGCACAAACCATTCACACCAACATGAGTAGACTAATCGAGAAATTGTTCTCGATTCAGATTCTAAAGTTGTTTGGCGGCGCTCCTCCACAATGGGCTATTGTTTATCCTGATCTCAATCAGAGGAGCATTTCATGACAAGCATCTCAAACAAAGCACAGATATATTGTCGACTAATTGATGGAAATGTTGGCGAACTGTCAACGGAGCAGTTCCTGTGTCGTCTAAACAGAACAACATAAAGTTAACATGATCTGAGAATAGAGATAAAGGGGAAATGTGAAAGTGGGGAATCCCAAGCTTGACAATAGCAACAGTATAAATGACGTAAGGGTTGTACTCTGGAATAATAAGCAACTTCACCAGATGGCCACTAGACACAAATCAGATAAATATTAAAATAACATCTAATCTCATTCCCTCTCAGTGCATTACCTGTTTTCTCCATATATTCTACTCTTCTTCACTCATCAAAGGGTCTTTCTAAGAGTCAGCCATAGTCATTTTGCAAAAGCCCTTAATTTTTCTTTCAGACTTCCTGCAACACCTCCCAACCAGATCCCTAGGGATGATCTTCGAAAAAGAAGACCAAATTTTGACCATCGACGAAAGGCAAGATGGGTTGAATCCCAGTGACAATTACCAGGAGCAAAATGAAGAAGATAATCAAGAAGAGTGGCTGAATTTGAGCTTGGGAACAAATTCAGCCTCAACAGCTGGAGACTCTGAATCGCAATCGAGGCCAGCTTCAACCAAAGTTTTTTCATGTAACTTCTGTATGAGGAAATTCTACAGCTCACAAGCTTTAGGAGGTCACCAGAATGCCCATAAGAGAGAGAGGGGGGCAGCAAGAAGATACCAATCCCAGAGAATGATCACGATGTTGGGTTCACATACAAATGCTCCTATCATCCGATCACTTGGTGTTAGGCCCCATTCTCTAGTGCACAAACAGAGTAGAGATGGGACAGCAATGGTAGCAAGATTCAGTGACCATAATATAGGATATGCACCAGGATGGCCACCCTTCATGTTTGAGGATGCATTAGACTTGATGTGGCCAGGCAGCTTCCGCTTGGATGCGCAACAATCAAATCCTCCATCAGAGCCAGTTAAGCTTGACTTAAACCTCCGGCTCTGATCAAGTTGTTCATCCTTGAGCTGCATCTGAATTCTCGTGTCCAAACAGATTCCCAGTTTTTTTCTTTTCTGTCATGTAAGACTGCAGATGCAGGCCAACAACATCACGGTTGAGTCGGTGCTTCTGCCCAATAAAATCCAAAGATCGTGAATATCTTGTACGCTTCTCATGGATTTAGTGCAAACCAGAATCTACACAACACTCTCATGTTACTACTCATTCCATTTCAAATCTCCCAAAATCCGACCAATTCTTGAGGTGCATGATGAATCAATGATCATATGTAAGCAAGTTTTGCAGAGAACTTCTGCCATGCTAAGCTGCATCCTGTTGCTGGCCAAAAAAAGCTGCATCCTAATTCACCTAGACCACACACTCAATTCTGCAAACTGAAAATGAATCATTCTTCTAGGAGAACAAAGCTACGTGGAAGAAATCTTTTTTAAAAACTAGCGATTGTGAAGATCTGTGGGCAAGAAAAGTACTCTGCTAGCATGACGACATGGGTTAATGACTGATCGTGCTATATACAACAGATGGAGCTAGTATGACTAGCAATTGTGAAGATCTGTGGGCAAGAAAAAATACTCCACTAGCGCCGCAACACGGGTTAAAGACTGATCTTGTATACAGCAGATGGAGCTAGTAGTAGTTCGAGGCTCAAATTTCGATGCACTTGCATTTAATTGTGAGGTTCAACTGTATACTTTTTTCGTCATTTGAGAAGAATGAACTCCCACATCCAAAGTGATTTTTGCCCTTAATGGAAATTATACATGCAATGTCATACGAAGCACGACAATGTTTCACCAGCTCTAAATCATGAATTACACTGCTCAGAACATCTCCCAAAAACTAATTCAAGTAGTTTCTTTGCATTTAACCCCTATACATGATGTACTAACTCTAAGCAACATAAGACAGCATTACAAGAAAATTATTATCAATACAACTTCCCCATGTAAGTTGTCAACCTCTTTCTTACTTTGAACATTATTAAATCCAATTGAATCTAGAATAATGTTAAGACATATTAAGACTCGTCTTCTAAGTTTGTTTGACATGGCAGGTTTCTCTTGGGAACTAAAGGGCCCCATTAACATAAAGGGATAATGACACAAATAGTCCTTGAACTTTGGTCCAATATGCAATGTAGTCCCGACCTTTAGCCTAATATTCAATGTAGTCCCTAAACTTTTAATTTGTTCAATATAATCCCTGGACTTTTGGTATATGTTCAATGTAGTTCCCGAACTATATGAAAATGTTCAATGCAATCGCTGAACTTGAATTAATGGAAGAACTATATTTAACATTTTCATATAGTTCAGGAACCACATTGCATGTTGGGTTAAAGTTCAGGGACCACATTGAACAAATTAAAAGTTCAGGGACCACATTACATATTGGGCCAAAGATCAGGGACTGTTTGTGTCATTTTTCCTAACATAAATAAACACTCAAGGACAGAATAGCACATCTTTTTTATTAAACTAATTTAGTACAAGGATCTTAGTATCCTTAGCATTGCTCTTGTAGTGTTGAATTTTCTTTCCAGTAAACTCCAGTGTCATGAGTAGGAGTCAGGCAACAACTTCAACCATGATGCATATATCAACATGCTGCTCTATGGGGGAAAACAATAATATTAATGCATATGCTAGATAGTTCCAGTAAGACCATAGCAGAAGAAATAAGATTACCAGCAGAAGATCATTCAACTCCTCATTGCTAAAGGAGAAAAAAAATCATCATACCACTTGAAGAGCTCCAAATCTAAAGTTTGCTATCCAATTTTGGCCATAGTTTCTACAGAAAACCTGGTAAGGTATTCAATCTCTTGCACATAAAATGCACTATACTTCTTCCAACGTACTGCCTTCAGTTACATCTGGATTTTTCTAATTTGAATACATTTTTAAGCATACCCAAATTAACATGCCTCGATCTCACTAGCTCAACATATTAAATGAAGCATGAAACAAGAAAACTATCATAGGAATACGAAGACAGACAATTTAAGTGTAACGGGTATGATGCTCCCGAAGAATGACTGTTCATTGCATTATAAAAATTAGTTTGTGTATAAGTACAACTCCATTCCACCTTACAGAGGTTCAAAGACTTCTCAAAAATCCCTGCTATACAAAGTACCATCAATCATTTAAACGGCCAGAAACTTGTAGCTTATAAATCATCAGGGATTACAAGCTTTTGGGTTTTATGCATGACAATAGGCAGCCTTTGGCCGATGATGCTTGGGTCACTGTATGAAGAAGCATCGGATGGATATCCTTTCTGCAAAACCCAAATATCAATTGTCTGAATATCAGCAACAGAACAAGCAATCTTATAGAGCTCTTACTGAAGTAGATGATATGCCAACCCTAAGGATAGTCCATGCCACTGTCACAAAAAGGACTAACTGCAGGCAATATTCTCGGAAAAAGTTAACATGCCATTGTTTTTAATGCAGTGGCCATTTTGGCAGACTCCAACATATCTATAATGGACATGTAATATTAGTCTCTAATGAAGTGATGTAACTGTGCCTTGGCACTTTGCAGTTCAGTCGCCGCTAGAAAATGAAATGGTTTCACATCATGCAATGTAGAGAATCCGGTTACAGAAATTCTATATCAAACGTGTGGAGACATGAATCAATTGCGCAAAAGTTTCTTCAAGGGGATGAAGTCAACGAGAATTCATATGATCAATCATAATAGATTGCGCAAGTTACGATCCGAAGCCCTTTTCTAAAGTGTACGAGCCATAAAATATTCTGAATAGGCATCCATGTTGGCAAATTTAAGTTCGTGAGAAGTCAAAAAACCTATTCAAATGCAAGACCAGCAGAGACTTGTAAGATAATGTCATTTCTTTTGGTACTTATACATTAATAGGAGGATCAACTGCAATGGCACTCATAATTAGCTGTTACTCACATTAACTGCAAAGAACATATGATTGTGCAAGACTTTCAGCAAGCTAAATTAAATACTCACATTGGCTAGCTTGACTTTGCCTCGCTAGCAGCAAATTACTAAACATCATTTAGTAATAAACAAATACACATTTTATCCCTAGCAAGCAGTAGGAAATTCAGAAAACCATTATTTCTCACACCACGCCGAAACCAATACACCAATGCCTAGATGATCTCCACGATAACAACCAAATTACCGATCAAGCTCCAGCATATCGAAGCTCCAAAAATAAGGAAAGCAAGATGTGTAACATAACCATCAATGACCGCACAAGAGATACTTACAGCAGCTAAGGCTTCGAACGTCGCCTCTCTCCAACAGCTTTCTCGTAGAATAGAACGGCATTTTTTGTCCTCAAAGCCGCAATACATGCGGGTGTCCCTCAATCTCATTAGCACTCCATCAACTCTAAGCTGTAGGATTGAAAGAATGAGTCAACAACATACTTTTGATTGAGCAACGAGTTAATAAACTAAGCTAAGCATTGTATTGTTTCTTTTTTTAGTTTGCTAGATAAGCATGTATTATTCTCAAAATATACAAAACCTGGTACAAATCCAAGTAAACAATGCAATCACCATACTGTCAAAACAAACAATCTATACATGCCCTGTAACTATCAGATCAATTTCCAATGCCTATAGACAAACTAAGCATAATGATCATCAATCAATACAACATAATGGTTATTTTCCTAGTGCTCAGAATACAAATACAATAGAAACGCATTTCTTAAGAAGTGACAGCGTAGGGATGGCCATAGGGCAGGGATTCTCCAGGATCCGGGGATCCTACCCCAATTTGGGTGGAGAAAAAGGGCACGAGGAGGGTTGCAGGGCAGATGAGCCAAAACCTTCACAGGTCCGAGCGGTGAACGGAATTTCGTATGCCCTGCCCCATAAAACCACCTGGTGTTTTAAATACCTAAAGCATAATATCCTACTAAAGCTCATAATGCCCTTCTTCTTTCCTGCAAACCTTCAGAGTAGTCTTACATCTCTCTCCTCCAGCCTCTTGACGGCCAGCAACCATCTTACTACCTTGCCTCACCCCTCTTGACACCACAACCGAACCTCAACATCTCGACGGCCTCCACCGCCACACATTACCCACCAACCAGGGTTTGCTTGATACATGTGGACAAGCTAGTGAGGTCATAAATTACTGTTCTGATTTAAATAGGAACAGATCTCCCACTTCCACTGTGTAGCATTCCATGTCAGATTGATGTTCAGAAATTATGCTTCTGGAAATTTTTTTACCTTAGTTTTCCGCAAATAATTTTTTGAATAAATCCTTTTGCTGTCTTGCTGCTCCGCAGGGCAACCATGTGCCTAGCGGAAAGTGGACAGAGATGGGGCAGAGTTCATTGGGCCATGCCAGGGCAGTGGATGGATGCAGGGCAGCTCTCTTTCTCGCTGGGTGGGGGGTGTGTGCGTGTGTGGGTGTGTGTGTGTGTGTGTGTGTTTGGGGGGCTCCGATTCACAGGAGAAGACAGATAATATTCTAACCCCGCCCCATTGCCATCCTTACACAGCTGATTGCATCCAAGCAGATTGTCAATGATAAAAACATTGGTGATATGGCATAAGAAGACATATAATGGATTAAACTCACCCAGAATCGCAAGAGAAGAAACCAACAGCTTGGCATGACTCTCTAGAAAAACAATCACAGATTTCCATCAGTTGTTATCAATACTGATGCTAATGAAAAAGCTTCAGAACTACATTTAAAAGACAAAGAACAAGAACAAGATAAAAGAGTACCACTTTCACTGTTAAGAGTGAAATTCCATTATCGGCAAGTTCATCTTCATATAAAATTATCTGCAGAATTCATTAATTATGTTCATTATCACAAGATAGTAATAGAAAGATGCTCGTAGATGTCCATTTGTCGTGTGATCATGGTTACAATTTTGCTACCTCGTCGTAGAAGAGAATAGGCTCTTTTACTGCCAAGGCAACCATATCAATACGATCCTCGCAATCATGCCATTGAAGGCTACCAGTCACCTTAGAGATGGCTTCTGTTTCATCCTAATTGAGAAGAGGGGGGGAAAGGAGAATGGCGACAGATCCAGGAAAATGATAAAATCAGTATAGTCCACAATCGGAATCTTTATTTTAATCCTCCTTATTACTTGACGAAAATTTGGAGTCTTACTACCCTCTGTAAGTTAGTAAAGAAATTAGCAGATAGCGTGTTTACCTGATCAGCTTTTTCTCCTTTTTTTTTCCTTACATTTTTC